TTTTAGGAAAGTCCTAAGCATGAGGCTCGAGAGGCCACTTGCACAGAAAAGCCCCTGGAAATGGCCTGGATGAGCCTGCAGGTGGGGAGGGGCGGGGCTTTCGGGAATCACGGGGCGGGGCCAAAGGTGGTGATTCAAATATGGTGCCTGCCTGCCGGCTGTGTGGGGAGGACTTGCCAAAGGAACAGTGGCCTCTGCCAGCTCTCCTGCCTGGGAGGAAGCCGCCCCTCCAGCTCTCTCCGGGATTCCAGGCAGGTTAGTTCCTCCCCGAGTATCCCAGGTCCTTTCAGGCTGCTGCCCGGCGCTGGGCTCAGAGGGAGGGCGTCCGAGTGAGTCCATGCTCGGGCCCTTTAAGAGGAGCTGCCTGGCGCTCTCGCGGCCTCCGTGACCCTCAGCCCCAGTCCCCACTGGTTTTCGCAGCCCGAAGGTGTGGGGACTTCTTTTCCTGGCCTGGAGCCCTTCGCTGGGGCCTGCTGTGGGGCTGGGATCCCTCCCTTCTCTGGGAAAACTCCGCCGCGGACATTCCCTTCCGGGTTTCAACCGCGGCACCGTGTGCGGGCCCGATGCCGTGTCTCTGCGATTCAGCCCTGATCCGCCCGAGTCTCCACCCCTCCTCCCGGTCTTGGTGCTCCTTCAGCTCCCTGGTTGTGGGGCTTCTATTCAGCGAGTTTTCAGGAGGCTCTGAGTGATGGTGGTTCTGTATTTTAGTTGTAATTTTGATATGGTTGCAGGAGGCAGTGGGTGCAGCTGTTACCTACTCCACCATCTTTTTTTTCAGTCTCATGTGTGTGTTTTTTTATCCCCACCCGAGGATGTTTATTGATTTTAGAGAGAGAGGAAGGGAGGGAGAGAAAAATATCAATGGGAGAGAGAAACACTGATTGGTTGCCTCCCATACTCTCCCTGACCAGGGTTTGAACCCGAAACCTAGGTATGTGCCCTGATAGGGAATTGAACCCACAACCTTTTGGTGCACGGACGACGCTCCAGCCAGCTGAGGGTACCCGGCCAGGGCCAAGTGCTAACTAAGTTTTACAGGCACAGCCAGATTTATGCTACCAGCTGAGGAGATGGGAAGAAGTGATCTTCACTTTCCCATTTACACCTATCTCACTGTCGCCTCCCTCCTTCTCTGCCTCCCTCCCTCCTTGACTCTTCCCTCCCTCTTGTGAATGGTGGATTTAAGGTGTGATGTTTTCACTGTACCTCCAGCCGAGCAGGGGCCTTGGAGCAGCAGTCTGGGCTGCATCTCTGCTTGCTTCTTCCCCTGGACCAGAGGGGCTTAGTTTACAACATGATGTGAAAAGAAAGAAAAGAAAAATCCTAAGTGGAAGCATGCTTTTGAAGATGCTTTTGAGTCATCCAATTCTTCTTCTCTCCCAGTGGAATGACACTGAGGAAATGCTAGGAGAGCTGGCAGGGTGGCTTTGTTTGCAGTGTTGCTCCTGGTGATCCATCTGGGCCACCCTAGGTCCCTTTATCTTTGTGACCTTTGACCTTGTAGGGTCACTGAGATGGAGGCAAGGACCATGTCCCATTATTGGATGGTCAAACCAAGGCCCAGAGTGGAGGGTGGGAAAGAATTCTTGCTCCCCACCTCCTTTCCTCTCTCCATGTATTCCCAGCCATGGCCCACCCCTCTGCTTACTCAGGAGTCTGGAGTCTCCGTGTGGGTTGTGGTGGGTATCTCCTAATGTGTGCTCATTTCTGCTTGAATTGTGTGAATTAAGGGGGACGTAACATGTAGAGACAACTGGTGGCAGTCTTACTCTTGTTATTGTGATAGAATATATATTAGTGATAAAATGTACAGGGGTGGGCAAAAGTAGGTTTACAGTTGTGAGTATGTGAGTTTATTCTTGTATTATTATTAGTTATTGTAGTATTTTCCATACAAACAAGTGTAAATCTACTTTTACCCACCCACGTTCTGTGATAAAATATATTCTTCCTTGTCCTGCTGAGTGATGGGCTCCAGAACCCAGTTCCCTCCACTCCGACTCTCATGAGGTGGAAAAATGGGGGTATGGGTGGCAGCTGATCTGAACGAGAGCTGGGGCATCATATTCTCTTCCTGGCTGGAACAGCCAGCACGTCCTGCTCCTCTGGCTCGCTGCTGCGGGACCCCAGTGGAACTCCAGCTCTGGTGTCTGGAACCAACGCTGCCGCTCCAGCCACGCCCACCCAGGGCACACTCTCATCCCACATGTCACTGTCCTGACCATGTCTTGTGCCTGGCCCTGTACCACTTCTTTCTCTGAGTTCCCATCCTCTGTCCAGTTCAGATTAGTTATGGGTGGTTTCCTCTGTCCAGTTCAGATTTTTCAAGGCTAGTTTCCTACCCTTTCTCTTTGCTCTCAGGCAGTCAAGCAAATCACCTCCAGGCGGTTTCATTCGCATTCCCTTTTGGCCCCCTGTCCTTTGTACCCAAAACAAAAAGAGGCAGCACATTGTCTCTGGCCCAGATCTTTTACCGCCTCTGCACCACCTCTCAGCTCTGCCTCAGAGCCTGTGGCATGGGCTCTGGGAGGGAGATGGTATTTCCTTGACTCCGAGCCCCACATTTTTTCACATGTAAAGTTTCTTAAATCAGGATACATCTTATAACCAGTAGGACATTCAATATTGGCAGCAGGTCTTTCTGTTAGTCTCTGAAATGGCTTACGAGTAAGAAAATAAAGTAACAATGGTCCTGGCTGGATAGCTCAGTCAAACCGATAAACCAAGGTTCCAGGTTTGGTCCCCAGGTAGGGCAAATACAGGAGTCAATCAATGAAGGCATGAATAAGTGGAACAACAAATCTCTCTCTCAAATCAATAAAGTTAAAAGCATTCTCAGGTGAGGATAATAAATAATAGAAAATAAAGTAATGAGAAAATGGATGGTGGGAGAAATGAGCCCTTTCCAACAGTGTAGACAGATGCCCTCCTTTATGCCATTAATCTTGTAGATAACTTCACAGAGTTAACAGTCCATTTCCCATCCAGGTACCTGCCATGCACATGTGGAGATGAATAAGGCCTGTGGCCAGCCCTTTCAGGAGTTCCTGATTTAGCGAGGGACACACACTGGGTGCAGCATTGTCAGGGAGTGAGGGATGAGCCAGGCCATGCAGGATCCCCAGGCAGGGAGCAAGGCTGTCCACAGACAGTGCCCCCTGCTCTCAGGCACTTCCGTCCTCTCCCTCGTGCTGTGCGTAAACATTCCTTTCCTCATTGCTCTCACCAGTCTGTTGAAAGAATGCAAGCCTGGGAGAGATACCTTTGCATTCTTCTGTAGGCAAAGGTTGCCCAGAAAACTAGAAGGAATGATAGTATATTCAGTGCCTTCCGCCTTGATCTATTTTTATTTTTTTAAAATATATCTTTATTGATTTCAGAGAGAGGAAAGGAGAGGGAGAGAGACAGAAACATCAATGATGAGTCATTGATCGAGCCCACAACCCAGGCATGTGCCCTGACGGGGAATCGAACTCCGATCCCCTGGATCCTAGGTCGATGCTCAACCACTGAACCACACCCAGCCAGGCTGATTTATTTTTAAATCCGAGCCCTCAGCTATGCTGCCTGGGCCCCCTGCCCTGCAATGCTTTCGGCGTGTTTGCCTTCTTGGGTTGGGAGAAGGGTCACTGCTGACCTGACAGCCCTGCCCTGCCCCTTCCACAGCTGGAGCTTGCCACGGCCAAGAATGACATGAACCGGCACCTGCATGAGTACATGGAGATGTGCAGCATGAAGCGGGGCCTGGACGTGCAGATGGAGACCTGCCGCCGGCTCATCACCCAGTCTGGGGACCGGTAAGAACTTCCCCCAGAGTGCAGGTGAGGAAGGTGAGCTTGCCCACCTTCCTCTGTGCTTCCTCCAACGGTACATGCAGGGAGGGAACAGTGGACCAGAGCCCCTTGGTGGGCAAGCCCTAAAAACCCTCCACAGTGACTGTCACATCTGGATGTGGAGGTCTCATTGGAGGTCACCTAGTTTGTGTGGCCCAGTTGGATGTCCATTCATGGCTGGGCAGCTGAAACCTCCCAATGCCACCAACTCTGATGGTTCCTCTGGTGAGAGGCAACTAAAAACTGACAAGGAATAGAAGAGGTGTGAGGGCAGATTTTTACCTGAAGACAGGGCCACCATTTGTGCATTTGACCATGTAAGTAACACCACAACAAAAAAGTAAATTAAAAGAGTCACAAAAGTACTACAAGTAGACATAAAGCTGGGGCCATCCAGTTAGTGCACTCGGGCTCAGGTTGCATCTCTTACTTCAGAGACTTCAGATATTTCTGAACTCTGAGCCTCCCAAAGTCCTCAAAATAGAGAAGGGACTGTCTACCCCACTGGTGTGGGGAGGGGGAGGTTTCCTTCTCCCTCACCTGGCACCCAACCTCAACCCATGGTCCTGCCCTTGCCCAAGTTGTCATTCATCTGCCTGCCAGAGGACAAGCCTCACCAGGACTCCTGCCTGCCCCAAGATGACAACTGGTGTTTTTTTCTAGAAAGTCTCCTGCTTTCACTGCGGTCCCGCTTAGCGACCCGCCGCCACCGCCTAGCGAGACTGAAGACTCCGATCGTGATGTCTCATCTGATAGCTCCATGAGATAGGGACCTGCCTCTGGTCCCACCCTGATGGGAATGCACCTCAAACCTCCGCTGAGTCGGTTCACAGAAGGGGAACTTCATTTGTCCCGCTCTACTAAGCCTGGCCCCTGGGGACAGGGATGCTCCTCTCTCGGGTTTCCTCCCTTGGTCCTTGGCCTCTCCAGGGTTCTAGGGTGTCTGGAGCAAGGCTTGGCCTGCCCTTCCCAGGCGACTCCTACCACAGCTGGAGCTCTCCTTGACTTCATACGTGGGTGTCTGCTACTCCCCATCTTTAAAATGCTGCCAGTGCGATTGTGGCCCTGTAACTTCTCCATTGAATAAGGAATGTGATTGTCAGATCCTCCTTCCACCCGTGTGGCCTAGAGCCAGCTAATGTCTGATTCTGTACTGGTGCTAACTGGCCCAGGCACTGGTATGACATGGGTCAGGCTGGACGTCCCATGGCTTGTGTTCCTTCCGTGTTGCAGGTGGAGGGACATCGGACTGGACAGGACACTCAGTCCTCCCTCCATTGTTCAAGTGCTCTGGCCACCTGCGTGTGGACAGTAAGGATGTGGTGTGACTCCCTTGTGGAAATGCCATATATTGAGGGGGTCTATATCCCTTGTTCAGGTGGCTTCTGGGTCTGACTAGGTGCAGCGTCGTGGAGATTGGAAGCTGTTGTCTCCCAGTCGCTGCTGAGTGATGCAGAAAAAGGTGAAGCTACTTGTGTGTGCACATAGGTATGTGCATGTGCGTGTGTGCTCAGGGTCCCCGTTTCTTCCAATTATCAGCTGAAGATGTGCCTCCTCCGTGTCACACACTGAGACCAACATGCTTAGTAAGATGTCCGAACTTGGAAAACCTTGGAGAAATTGGGGAGACATGATTGAGACCTCAGCATAACTGTCAGGGGAGGCTACGCTATTTGAATGGAATCTTTAAGAATGAAACTGCAGAGTATTTATTGAATGCTTTGTGTCACTGTTTGAAGCACTTTCTGGTGGTAGCTACACAATCCTGAGGTATGCACTAGTTTCATCTCCATTTTATAAACATCAGGTACATTGAGGCATGGAAGTTAAAAGTAACTTGCCTCAAGGAAGCTTTAAGTTGCAGAACCAAGGTCAACTCAGGTGGTAGGCACCATGCCTGTGCCACTGAGCCCATGTGCCTCACTCATACTTCCCCCTCATTTCCTGTATTTATCACATGGTGTTTAATGCATATTGGGTGAGGTTCTAACTTCTGTAGCGACCTAACTGGGCTGGAGAATGGTGAGGAAAGGACCCGGTCCTGTGAAGTGGCTATGCTAGACCCACAGAACCTGGAGGCCTTGGAGGGCAAACAGCCAGGGAACAGAATTCTTCATGAGTAGTGCCTGGGCACACACTTTGTAAGGGATGCTTCCAGTCAAGCTAGCTCTAAATCTACCCGAGGCTATGCTTGCTTGGGATAAGCAAGGCCCTTCTGTGCTACTCTCAAGACATATTTCACCTTACTACCAGCCCAGCTTCTTTCCCCTTCATCCTAGACCCAGAAATAAGATAAAGCAAGAGTTGGCTGGGTACAGTGAACTTTATTGATGGTGCAGGACAAGGTAGGGCTCCCTAAGCCCCCTCCCCTTCTTTAGGGGATCTGGGATGGAAACTGTGGAGGTCAGGAGATTGTGTGTTGGGGGATCGATTTGGGGCAAGAACTCCCCAGCAGCTGAGGGCCTCTCTTCCTCTTGCTGGGGCTGGTCGTCCAGGGGGCTCTTACTCCTTGGAGGCCATGTGGACCATAAGGTCCACCACCCTGTTGCTGTAGCCAAATTCATTGTCATACCTGGAAGGTGATGAGAGGTTAAGGGTTATTTTTCTGAGCCAGCCACCAGAGGACGCCAGACCCACAGTCAGTTTTTAAAACATTCCCCACCCTAGCCACGTACCAGGAAACGAGCTTGACAAAGTGGTCATTGAGGGCAATGCCAGCCCCAGCATCAAAGGTGGAGGAGTGGGTGTCACTGTTAAAGTCGCAGGAGACAACCTGAGGAAAGGAGAAGGCCAAGTATGGGAACCCAGTCTTGTTCAGTAGGGCTGTGTGGACACCAGCTCCCTGTCTTATCAGTACCTGGTCCTCAGTATAGCCCAGGATGCCCTTGAGGGGGCCCTCTGATGCCTGCTTCACTACCTTCTTGATGTCATCGTATTTGGCCTAACAAGGTAAAACAAATATGGTTGTTCAAGTTCCAATGTTGTCATTCTACCTGAGACAAGCCCCCAACCCACCAAAGGTGCTCCAACCCATACTTACAGCTTTCTCCAGGCGGCAGGTCAGATCCACAACTGACACGTTGGGGGTGGGGACACGGAAGGCCATGCCAGTGAGCTTCCTGCAGACACAGGGAAGCAGGGTCAGTACCAGCTCCTAGTTCCCCTGCCCCCATGTCCAGAAAAGCAGCAAAAAGCCTCACCCGTTCAGCTCAGGGATGACCTTGCCCACAGCCTTGGCAGCTCCAGTAGAAGCAGGGATAATGTTCTGGGCAGCCCCTCGGCCATCACGCCACAGCTTCCCAGAGGGACCATCCACAGTCTTCTGGGTGGCAGTGATGGCATGGACTGTGGTCTGGAAACATGGAGGATGGAGTGAAGGGCCTGCATAGTGCTCATTACCTACCCTTCAACCTCCCTCCTCACCTTTGGAAGAAGTAAAGGGATACAGTGATCTAAGCCAACTCTTAGGAACCTAAATTCTCCAGTCTCCCAGCCCCCCAACCCAGGGCTGTGTTGTAAGGAGGGAGAAGGAACCAGTCCCAGGTGAGAAATGGAGACTGGAAGTGCTTGGTCTCTTTCCCCATCACTCTTACCATGAGTCCCTCCACGATGCCGAAGTTGTCATGGATGACCTTGGCCAGAGGGGCCAAGCAGTTGGTGGTGCAGGAGGCATTGCTGAAAAGAGGGAGGCAAGTTAGGGACAAATGTGTCCCTCTTCTAACTGTAGCACTATCCAACCACTTCTCCACTCCCTTCTGCCATGCTCACCTGACAATCTTGAGGGAGTTGTCATACTTGTCATGGTTCACACCCATCACAAACATAGGGGCATCCGCAGAAGGGGCAGAAATGATGACCCTCTTGGCTCCACCCTTCAAGTGAGCCTGCAGCAAAGGAGGAGTTACAGATGCCAGGCTCTACCTTTCCTGGTCTAAGGCAGCTTCCCCCAGCCTTCTTGCTATACCAAATCCCAGGGTCAACTCCCTTCACCTGTAGCCTTCCTGCCACTCACCCCAGCCTTCTCCATGGTAGTGAAGACACCGGTGGACTCCACAACGTACTCAGCACCAGCATCACCCCATTTGATGTTGGCGGGATCTCGCCTACAAGGGATGATAGGACATGAATGAGTACCATGTACCCAAGGTGGTCACCCCATGCTAGCATCTCCCCCGAAGCAAATTTCTTCCTGTTCTTCCACACTTACTCCTGGAAGATGGAGATGGACTTTCCATTGATGACAAGCTTCCCGTTCTCAGCCTTGACTGTGCCTTTGAACTTGCCATGAGTAGAGTCATACTGGAACATGTAGACCTGGAGGGAGAAGTAAGGGCATCAAGGGACTGCATATCAATGAGCCTCTGCTTCCCACACCTGCCCTACAGGCAGCACTCACCATGTAGTTGAGGTCAATGAAGGGGTCATTGATGGCCACAATATCCACTTTGCCAGAGTTAAAAGCAGCCCTGGTGACCAGGCGCCCAATACGGCCAAATCTGAGTGATAGAAAAGGTGAGAAGGCATGAGGAGGGAACTGAGAATTCTCTTGGGTGTGTAAGTAGCCCGTGGCCCATTCACCTTCTTTCAGAGGGAAGATAGCAAGTACTTCCCTGCCACCAAAAGTCCCAAAAGGTCTAATTTATATTCTCCCAGCAATCTTGCCAGGCTACCCTGGCTTAAAAGCATGGCCATGAAGTGAAGGCTCCTATCCTGTCCAAGAGGTGATTAGGCTCAAAGACTTGCCCAACCCCCTAGAGTCCTCTGAAATCAATCTTTCGAGTGACAGTGCAGGGCACTGCTACTGCCACCCACAGTCAGTCCCGGCATTCATCACCCCTCTCTGTGCCCTGGGAATGCTTGCTCCTATCTTGCCCAGCTTCAGGCCACACCCCTTATGGAGCAGAGACCTGTACACTCAGCATCACCAAGCTCAAAGGGCAAGAGTAAAGGTCGGAAGTTAACTGGTCAGGGAAAGCCCACCCTTTTCCAAGTCCCTCCTACAAAGAGGGAAGGTGATGGAGGAAATGAGCTGTTTTCAACACCCTAATAATGGGGGTTGGTTCTAATTGCTAAGCTACCTGTCCTTCCTAGCTTTCTTGCAGAAATCAGGTTGTAGGAGCAACAGATGTGTGTGTAGGTGGAAGGAGGTGGGAGAGCAGAAGCCAGGCCCCCTGCTGCAGAAAGGTCAGGTGCTATATTTAACCCCAGAGTAGGGTAGAGTCAGGATCTGGTTTCCGGAAGATGGAATGGGGAGAAGGGCAGGGTTCCCAAGACTCCCAGACACCTAATCCTCCCAGTGACCTTTACAGCCTGGTCGTTAGGGTTGTGTGAGTTCTAGTCATTGATGGAGTTTCGAGGGGAGCTGGTGTGGAGAGGGGCTGCTGCTACAGAAGCCATTTTATGGTGGAAAATTTTTAACTACCATGACTCAGCTCTCCTAGCATGGCACTAAGCCACAGCTACCACGCCTCCCCTCAAAAAGAAAAGAGAAAGAAGACACAAAAAGACCCCCAGAAAACCACGTTTTTGATTCATCAGAGAATCGGCTAGGAAAAGCATCCTCTCCGAGGGGGCAGGCAGGTTACGGATGGTGTAGGGTGAACACGGTCTGAGTTCTTTGGTCCAGCTCTTTGGAGAGCAGCACGGGGAAAGCCTTGCCTCACCAGGTTTACCGGATACAGGCGACTCCACCCCACCGAGGCAGAAGTAGGGTTAGTCATAGCCAGGGAAGGAGGAAGACTGGAGAGCTCAGGGAGGTTTCCTAACGGCGGTTCATTCATTTCCTTCCCAGTTGCAACATGGCGGCGAGGTTACCGCAAGGAGCCCTCGGGGCTGCCTGTGCGCGAAGCTGCGCCTCCCGCATCCTTGAGCTGTGCGGCTAGGTGGGGGCAAAGGAGGCTGGGGGAGGGGGGTTTCCTCCACAGCACGTGACCCCACAGGGCGCGAAATGAAAGAAAGAAGCCGCAGCTAGGGGCCTAAGGGAATGGGTCCAAAGCCAGAACTGAGGACTCTCCTGCTTATCTGGAGGGGAAGGCTCCGGGCGACTTGTCCCCGCAGGGGCGGAGTCACCAGAGGTGCGTGGGGAACAGAGGCCCTCTGAGGTCGGAGCTCTGACCTTGAGTTCTCCTTGGGGGGGTGAGGGGCCCGACCCTCCCACGTCTCCCAGCGCTTGCAGAAGCCCTGGCAGGTCTGCCGACCCCCGACTCACCCGTTCACTCCGACCTTCACCATCGTGTCACTGGGTTGCGGCTGCGGGAAGGGAGGGTGAGTCAACTTCAGGGCGCGGGGCTCCAGAGCGGTTCTCTCCTCCCCTCTCCTCCTCCCCCTCCCCTGGCCACCATCCCATCCGTGCGCCTCCGCACGTCCCCCTCCGCCATTGCACTGCGGCGCACACCCAGCCCACCTCACCCCGCGCGGCGCCCCAGGCCCGCGCGCGCGGCCCGGGCCCCTCTGGAATTTCCCCGGGCTCCTCTAGGCGCCTGCTGGCTTTTGCTTTTACCTGGTACTGCGCGGGAAGACGCGGCTGTCTGATGAACAGGAGGAGCAGAGAGCGCCAGAGGGAGGCTGCCGTCGCAATTTATAGAAACCAGGCGTGGCGGGGGCGGGGATGACGCGGGTCGCCTCCCGCCCGCTTGCCCAGTCTCAGCCCAAGGGCGCGGAGGCCTGAGCTACGTGCGCCCGTAAAATCTCGAGTAGCAGTGCCTATCGTTTTCTTTTGGTCTCGCCTGGTTCCTCCAATGTGCACGCCCCGCGAGTATGGGCGAGGGACGGAGGGGGAGGGGACTGAGAGTGGCCCTAGGAAGTAGGTGATCGGTGATGGTGCCGAGGACGTGCGGGTGAGCTTGCCGGAGACGGTGGGCTCGAGGACGGGGGCCCTCGTGAGAACTGAGGGGCTAGGGGCGTTAATGTTGCAGCGCGGATGAAACGGGAGGGCTGGGAGCTCGTGGGATGGGGACTTGGAGCCGGAGCCCAGGGCGGCTGGTGGCTGCACGCTGCCACCCCGTCCTCTTTCTTTCAAAGGCTGAGAGGCGGGAAGGCTGAGGAACTTCTCGAGGCTCTTCGGTAGTGACACTGGAACAGCCAAGGAAAGGCCCGGGAGGGGCCAATGCACCGTCGCGGGGCCCTTCTCAGCCCCCCTTCCTCCTCCTCAGGCCCTGGCTCCCGGCCACTCTGGGCCGGGGGCCTGGGCTGGGCACTGAGCTTGAGGGGGAGGTATCTGCGTTGAAGGTCACACTGTCCTGCAGCTTGGGCAGCTGGGAGACCTGATAATTGGGGCAGACAAACCGGGCCCTGTATGCACCAGAGGCTCTCCCCCAGGCCTTGCCCGGGCCCCAGAGGGAGGATGGGATCACTCCTGGGGGCCTCCCACAAAGTTGCTCCTGGGAAACCTGAGGGCTGTGCGGCCCAGGCTGGGAGACAATGCCCCTTTCACTCCTCCAGCCCAGGGCGGACAGCTGGACGTGAGGGCGGAAGTCCCTCCCCGTCTCGGGACGTGCTGGCCCGCCCGGAGTCGTGGGCTCCCAGTCACAAGCTGTGCCCAGATGTTGGGGGCAGGGCGAGGAGTCCAAAAGGGGTAAAAGATTGGGAGGTCTTGAGCACCTGGTGGGAACGCGACCCCAGCCCTTTCCCACGCCTGCGGTAGGGGAAGGGAGCCCAGTGGGTCAGTAGCCCAGGCTGTGCCAGATTTGGGAGCTGAAGATGGAGGGACGGCTGGTTCTGAGCACTTGAAAGAGGATTTAGAAGGGGGTGGGGTAAAATGGACATTGCCCATCAGCAGGTGTCGGGGGGACAGGGGATCTGGGGCCTCTGCTGGCCCAGCATAACCTGACACCAGCCCCCCTTTCTAGCTAAAAGCCTGTAGCTAAGTTTAGCTGGTGATAACCTTTGCCTAAAAGGCAGAGAGCACGCTGTCCTGCACCCCAACTCCAGCCCCTTCCCTTTTGGGGATTGCCCTCCCTCTTGGGCCCCCAAGCCAAGGTTGTGTCTATGTTGGGCAGCCATCTGCATGGTTGGTGCCCAGGCTTTTCATGAACAGCAAGAGCAGGGCCAGAAGGCATCTAATGTTGAGAGGAGGTAGGAAGCCCCACAATGCAGAGTGGGCTGGGGAGGTGGAGGAGCTGCAGCTGCTACAGTTCCATTCCTGCTCAGGCGCTGCCAGGACCATTAACCCTTCCCCTGACAAGGACCTCAGGAGGCCCTCCATGCTCCTGCACTCCCCAAAGCATGTCTGAGGTACTGGCTTCCCCTTTGCCTCATGTTTGTCATATATTGCTGTCCTCTGTCAAAAAAGAAAAAGGGAGCTCAGGGTCTCAGTGCCCACTAACACAGCTACTGTTGTCATGACAGCAGACACCAGTGTCGGCATGACAGCAGGCTCACTGCCTCCATTTCCAGGTGACTCAGCAGAGAGGACTTGGGGAGGTGGAAGGGGTGACAGGCTTCAGGTGGCTGCACATTAGCAGCACCTGCACCTCAGGGGCTGGACTTCCTGCAGGCCCTGTGGCAAGGAATCCTTGGTAGACAGACAGTTTCCAGAGATTGTCTAAAGCTGGAAGGGATCATGATTTGACCTTCCATCAGCCAGGCCAGTCACCCGTCTTTAGAGATAGGATAAGGAGCACAAGTGGGGGCTGAGCCAGTCCACAGAGGACACCAGCCTTTGGTCTAGAGCAGGCTTTTTCGAGCTCAGCACTATTGATTGACATTTGGGAGAGGATTCTTCACTGTGAGTTCTGTCCTGTACATTGTAGGGTATTTAGCAACATCCCTGGCCTCTGCCCACTAGATGCTGGTAGCACCCCTCCCCTCTAGGTTGTGACAACAAAAAAGGAATCCACACTTGCCAGATGCCCGCGAGCGGGCAAAATAGCCCTCAGGTTAAGAAGCACAGACTTGGAGACTAGACACTGCATAATTCTCTACAGTGGAACAATCTTGTCACCTGTGCAGGGTGGGGAGTTGAGAAGAGAAAGATGGGGCACTGAGAAGCATGAAGTTATCAGATCTTGAGATGGGCCCCAGTACTCCGGGGCTCATCCTCTCTTTCTAGACCAATAACTATCTGCTGCCTGCAAATGGGCTAATGTGAAAGATGAAACAAAGACAAGCTTAAGAAAAATGTCTAAAAGTATATAAAAATATTTATTCATTACAAAACAAGGAGACTGGCAAACAGATATTCTAGTGAAAGCAGCTCAACTCAGTTTTCAGTTAGGCTGGTTTAAGAGAAATGCCTTACATTATAAAGATGATTTATGTATTAAAAATCCAAGGAGACAGGCAAATAAGTATTTTACAAGGGGAACGGAATTCTAGGTCACCCCACAAGTACCCTACATAGCAGGGATGGGAGCAGGCGAGCCGACCTCCTAGGACCTGTGCTTACGAGTAGATGCTCGGCGGATGGGGGTGGTTTTCTTTGGTGTCTCATCTTCTGTCATCTCTGCTGAAAGCTCTATTCCAAGAATTGGAGGAATGAGAAAAAGCTGAGTCACAAAGATGGTGAACAATAGATCTCAGAGAACAAATGTGACAGGCCCAGCCACACTGCACAAATAAAGCCCAAACTGTACAGGGAGAAAGACGACCTGGGGGAGGGAGAGGGAGGGTAGTGGGGGGCGTGGTGGAATCTACACAGCAGGACACCACCAAAGCCAGCCCCCCCCCAGCTGTGCTCCTCCTGGGCCCGCCATACCTTCCTCGCTGGACTCATCACTTGAGAAGACAATTCTGGGTTTATTTTTCTTAACTCGCTGCTGGGTGATTGGATGCCGACGGGCAGTGCGGCGGGGCTCAGGTGTGACAAAGTCATTGTCAGAGGCTACAGAAGTCAGATGCTGGTGCCTAGAGGCTAAAAGGGGAAGAAGCATGAGTCCAAAATAAAAAAAACCACGAAAACCTCTACCTGAAACGAGTTCACATCTGGTCTCTCCATCCCTGGGGCTGCCTCACGTACCAGAGGACTGCTTCTTGGCTGCTGGAGTTCTCTTGCTATCCCCTTGGCCAATCTCATGTTCCTCTATTGCATCTAATCCTCTTGTGTGACAGGCCCGAAGCTTCTGCTCAAATTCATCTATTATAGCCTGGAGGGGAAAAGAGATTAAGGCCAGACTTGGAAATAGTGATTTCTATGATTAAAAAGAAACAAGGTCATGAAAAGACATGATGAAAGCTTAAGTGCATAATTCTAAGAAGCCAATCTGAGAAGCGGATGTCTTTGATTCCAACTGTATGACATTCTGGGAAAGGCAAAACTGGAAATAGTAAAAAGATCAGTGGTTGCTGCCAGGGGTTGAGGGCAGAGAGGGGTGAATAGGGAGCACAGAGGGTTGTTAGGGCGGTGAAGCCATTCTGTACGATACTATAATGGTGGACACAGGTTATTATACATTTGTACAAACCTACAGAATGTACAAGCAGCAACAGTGAATCTTGTATGGACTTTGGATGACAGTGATGTGCCCAGGGAGGTTCATCGATTGTAACAAGTGTGTCATTCCGGTGGGGATATTGATAATGGGGGAGGCTGTATGCATGTGTGGGGGCAGAGGGCATATGGGTGAACTCTATACTTTCCACTCAATTTTACTTTGAACCTAAAACTCCTATTAAAACATAGAAAAAGAAACAAACAGGAATTGGAAACAGAAAGATCTGGTCTCAGGTCACCCTGGTTACTTGGCTGCAATCCCAGCAGGAGCTGCTCACCTTGCCCTCAGGCTTGGCTCCTCGCCGCAGCTTGCCCACCACTGACAAAAAAGCACTGAAGATGGACTCATCTGACAGTTTATCTCCAAAGCATTCAAAATTATCCAGCATCTTGCGGAGGCCTCGCTCTGTGAGGGGCAGCTGTGACACACAGTAGGCCAGGTCCCGGTACTGCCGCTCGGTTCTGCAGATGGGAAAGGCTTTGTGAGGAGCGAGACCGAGGAAGTAAAGGTCCATCCTCACCCTCCCTCAGCCCCAGAATGCTCTGAAGGACCCTCGCAGCACAAGCTTCAAGGAAGGCAGCATACCGGGCTGTGCGGAACCGCTGACACAGCTTCTCCACCAGGCTCTCGGTCTGTCTGTCCTTGGTGATGTAAGAGAGCAGCTGCCTGCAGGGAGGAGGGATGCTGAAGGGGCAGCTTGGAACCCACCCACTACCACGAGCCCTGGTCTTCCCTAGTACTAGCCTTTGGTCAACCTCTTGCCTTAGAATCTTCTCTGCCATGGCCATCCCTGCCTCACTATTCCTTCTGCCTTCTTCCATACCCCAGAGAAGGGTCCACCCCCTCTCCTGAGGAATTTTCACTGTGAATGGAAATTTGTAACAAAAACAGCTTCCATCTAGTGAATACAATGTGCCTACCACCACCTCAGGAACTTTATCTTACAGAATCTGCTCAAGCACTAAGGGGCACGGCGCATATTGGCCTCATTTTATATAGGAGAAAAAGGCAGAGAGAGGTTAAGTTATTGTTGAAGGCCATATAGCTAAAAAGTAGCAGAGCTAGAATTCCAATACAGTTGTGACATTTTGGTGGACCGCACGTATGATGGTGGTCCTATAAGACTAATGGAGCTGAAAAATTCCTACCACCTTTCATAGCTGTCGTAATGTTGAAGCACAAAACATTACTCCTGTGTTTGTAGTGTTGCCCGTGTAAACAAACCCACTGCACCGCCAGTTGTACACACTGTAGAACATACAATTAATGTACAGTGCATAATAGTTGATAATGATAAACTGTTACTGGTTTATGTATTTAGTGTACTCTACTTTTTATCATTATTTTAAAATGTACTCTACTTATTAAAAAAAAGTTTGCTGTAAACAGTATGCTGTTATCTGGCAGCAGCCACAGATCTTTCATGTTTACCATGTGTCTTGATTATGTCATTTTCTCTTGTGCTTGATTTACCCTCATGTGGTTTTGCACAGTAACAAGCTGTACAGGCTCGTAGCCTAGGAGGCAATGAGCTATCCCATACAGCCTAGGTGAGCAGTAGGCTATACCACCTAGGTTTCTGTAAGTGTACTATGTTCACACAATGACGAAATCGCCTAACAATGCATTTCTCAGCCAGTGTATGTGTGAAGTGGCACATGACTGTACAGGTTTGTTTGTTGCTAAGCCTGTGCTAGGTGAAAAATATGCCCCAAGGCCCAGGGAACCATACTTCATGATGGTGCGAAAAGGCTCTTCCTCCACCCCTCCCTCAGGGTCTGACAGGCGGCTGATGATATCTGGAAGCAAGTTATAGATTGCATTGCCCTGTAAGAGAGAATCACGTTAAAGACACGAGGTGACCTACATCCACCCTCAGCAGCAAACCCTAAGCTGCCTCTCTGCCTCTCACCTTGTGGGAAAGCTCATTGAAGAAGTTCTTGGCCAGGGCGGCGATCTGAGGCACAGGGTCAGTGAGCAGCACAGCCATCTCGCTAACCTGTCCTTTCACCTTTACCATGTCCTTCAGGATCAGGTGGGTCATCACCAGCCCTGCTGTTTTCCGCACTTGCTGAGCTGGGTCTCGGAGGCTAGGAATAAAATCTCAAGTCATTGGGACCAAGACCATGGGCTACACCCTGACACTAGCAGGGAAGGCCCTCAGCAGGAACTCGTACCCCTTCTTAATGTACCATTCTAGAAGCAGTTAGCAAGCTGCCTAGAGTTGAAAGGTGGGATTGAGGAAGGAGGCCAAGCTTTAGCCAAGGCTTTAGACAGTTATAGTTTGTCAATCCCTTTGGGGTCATACCTAGCCAGGGCTTGTACAGGTCAAGTATTAAGCAGATGTTCAAGGGTAATCCTAAAGACTAAGGAAATACAGCTTTAGTAATTCTCATACTGACTTAACTAGCCCCTCCCAGAGCTGGGAGGGACTGCTGAAGCATTGTGAAGGATCTCTTACCGAGCATACAGATGAGGTGTCCAGGGGTCCACCAGGTTGGGGAAGCGGATGGCCAGATCCCCAGTAGCAATCATGATGTTAGATCGGAGAATGGGGAGTGAGGACTTTTCTAGCATGGTGAACAGAAGACGAAGCTGGGAGTCACAGAAAGTGGCACTAGGGGCAAGGAGAGGATCATCAGGGAAATCATAACATCTCTATCCTCCTTGAGAAGGTGGTCCCAACCCCAGGGCTTACCTGATCATGCAGAACTTGCCAAGGGTAAGTGATGCAGCTGCACAGAGCTCTGGGTTGCTATAGAGGCCAGGGTTGTTGCAGACTTTAAGCAGAAGTGGAACAAAGGCAGCCAATATCTGTTCGCCTGTTGGAAGAACAATTCTAGGTTTGGGACAAGTTATCTCAGTTGGGGAGAAGGTCACTCAGCAATTCTTCTTACCACCTAACAGTTCCATCTCACAGATGCTGCGGATTAGTTCTGCCTCTGTGTCATCAGCAGTGGCCCCAACCAGACCCATCTCCTCCTCCATGGTGGTCTCAGTGCTTGCATTCTAATGGGAAAGAAGCCAGAGATCATGCGTGATCAGAGACAACAGTTTTGATTCCAGCTTATCCTTCATTTTGCATGAATGAATCTGGGGAAAGGCAAATTCTGCAAAACCATTCATAGAATTGTCAATTGTGTCTGTAGAGAGAGGACTCCAGAATTAAAGAGGAAATGAACTAGGTTCCCTATATTTGTGTTTAAGTTGCCAAATCATATTTCCACATCTCTTAACTCGTCCTCATAGAGATAATTTCCTGCCCGGCCGGCGTGGCTCAGTGGTTGAGCACTGACCTATGAACCAGAAGGTCATGGTTCATTTCCTGGTCAGGGCACATGCCGGGGCTGTGGGCTCGATTCCCAGTAGGCGACATGTAGGAAGCAGCCGATTAATGACTCTCTCATCAATGATGTTTCTCTCTCTCTCTCCCTCTCCCTTACTCTCCCTGAAATTAAAAAAAAATAAAAAATTTCCTGCACATGGTAAATAGATCATGCCAGACAGTGGTTCAAGATCATAGAGAAAGTCAGACCTTGTCCCACTGCTGCAGGGCTGTGTCTTGTATGTTTGTCTCTAGTGGAGAAAATACAAGGTCCCTGTCAGGTGGCAGGCCCAGATGAAAGCTGATGGGTGTGTGCATGCTCTAAGAAACATGCCTTGGGCACAGCCTCTATTTTATGCTGAGGATCTAACTAAATGCTCTGTATTTACCTAAAACTTTCCTTCTTGGGTGATCATGGACAGACTGTTCCATCTTTGTTCTCACTAATCTTTCCCAGTGTAGTAGCACCAAGAAGGTAGAGTGTCATCTTCACTTCATTTAATAGCAGGGAAGACGCAGATCCCAGAAGGAAATGTCAATGACCTGAGGTCATGAAACACATCTGGGAAATGCTTGGGATGTGAACCCACATGCCCAGGTACTCCATTCACCTTCTCCTTTGGCTCTTTAGTTTTATTCTCCTGTTCTTCCCGAAGAACTCGGCGCCGACCAAGCTCTCCACTCACTGCCTGTTCCAAATGTACCAGCTGCTGCAGAGCCACATCACCAGCCAGGGACAGCAGGTTCATCAACAGGAAAGTGGGGAGCATGGGGATCTCCTCTGGAGGGAAGAGTAAGGGCAGGGAGGAAAAGACATAATCAGTCTCACAGGACTCTGCATCCTGTTTTCACCGATCTCCTCCTTGCTCATGTACTACGCAAACTAGGAAGAAGAAAGTGATGGGGTGGGGGAACGGGGCGGTGGCTGGCCCAACTTGAGTGACAAAAATGTGATAGCATGGGCCATGGAGGTCAGGGGTTGTTGTAGAAGTGGTGGTGGCAGTGGCCTCTGGCCTGGCAGGGAAAGTAGCAGGAGCTGGCTGCAGCCCACTGGGCCCATCAACCCTCTTGCCTACTTACTCGGGTCGTCCTGGTCCTGGGAGGTGCTCTTCTCTACTAGCTTCTCCAGGGCCTGCTTCGCACATCCCTGCAATATCTGGGCACAGATCACCTCAGGGCCTTCTGCCAGCTGGTAAATGAGGGTCACGGCCACCTCTTTGAAGGGGATCCAGAGTGGGTCTGGGTGGACAAAGCCTGCATAGGAAAAGAGAGAAGTTGCCCACTGCAGACGAAGGCCTCAATTCTGCCCAGACCCTTCACGATAGCACACCTTTTGTGACCATCTCCTGTAGTCGCTCAAATAACTTGTGTTCCTGAGGTAGCCGGAAGGGCGGGTGACGTTTACCCAGAGAAGGCTGTCAAGAACAGGAAAGACAGTATGTAGGTGTGTGGAAGGTGGATAAAATGACCCCCTACTCTCCTTAGTTTGGGTGCAGCCACCCCACATACCTTTCTCCTGTCAGAGATGTTGGCAATGGCGAGGCACACCTGTTGGGCCAGCCTGAAGTCCTGTGGAAACTTTTCCTCCAGCCCTATGCTCACCAGTGTGTCTAAGTTGCTTCCTACAATTTCTGGTTTTCCTCTAGGGGAAGGAAGTCACAGAGTTAAAGCTAGTCACGGACAGGACTCTGTGTAAGGGACAATGCCAAGGGGGGTAGGTAGGTACCTGCGCCCAACGCAGGGCTTCCAGAGCCTTGGAATACTACAGAGAGGATCTGAGACAGAGCTGCCCCCAAAATCCCCCTTTCTCTAGGCAGGGGGTGCTGGTACTTCCACTATTTTATTTCCCATTTAGGTAGCCAGCTCAAACACAGGGCTCAGCTGGGCCTGACTGCTATTACTGAAGGACAGGGGGCCTTCTCAGAACCTTCCTTTCCTCTCTTATCCGACTGCCCATCTGGATTTTAGTCTCACCGTGCCATCATTCCAAGAAGCATGACAGAGGAACAGCGCTCCAGAGGGGAGCAGGGAACCTTCTCAGTTGCCTGCTCCCAAAGCAGTTGGATCACTGCTGGTTTCAATTCATCCTTCTGCACAAACTCACAGATCTGAAGAAAAAAGAAAAAGAGCTGAGGCTAAAAACAACTGCCCTGGTCCTTGGCCCACTTCTCTGAAAAGAATATTGAGAACCTGGAGCGGGTGAAAGCAATACCCAGGAACGGAAAAGGAAGGAGGCTCGAAATATAAAGGAGGGGTTCGGGAAGGTTCTTCCATCACTACTGCTTCTACTCTTGTGCCTTCAAAGCTTTGTTCATTAAGACGACACACTGAAACTGACCTTGTTGAGCTCCATGTGGCTCTATAGTTCTCACTACTTTCTGGGTTTCTAGTAGGTTTTCTTGCTATTACTACAAACTCAACATGTCTAAAACGGAAGCCATCAGCGTTCCTTGCCTTTTCATTTTGCCAATGATAGGTACCAACACTCTCTTAGTCACATAGGCTTAAAATTTCAGCACCACCTCCACCTTTTGCCCCAATGATCCAAATGCTTCAGGGTAGATTTGCTGGGGTCCCTGGATAACAAGGTTAAAGTCCTAGACTCTTGAAAGCCATCCAGGGACCTTCACAGTTTAATTCCAACTTACATTCCCAGCTTCATTATCTTTTTCAGGTAACAATTTTAAGCTGGGACACAATCTTCCTCATTCTACAACATAGGCTGTGCTCTTTCTTGGCTTTCTGTATGAAATGCTTTCCCTCCTTTCTCAAATTCTCTAAATCCTACTCATCAAGACCCGCCTTAAGTCCTACCACCTTCAGGAAGCTTTACCTGACCATCCCACCTCACACTGCTCTGTCCCACTCTGTATTCATCAGTGTAACATACAAGCTAAAAATATGTTTTCTGGAGTTCTTCTGCCTGAGTTCAAATCTCAAACTTTGCCACTAACTAGCTGTAACTAGCCAAGTTCTTTAACTTCTCTGTGCCTCAGATTTCTTTGTAAAATGTAGATAATAGAATCACCGCATGGGATTATTGTGAGGATTAAACAGGTCAATATGAGTAAAGTGCTAAGAGGTGCCTGGCATATACAGTGTTATTATTTACTATTGCTACTATAACCACTGCCTCTGCTACATTGTTCGATAAGTGGTTTGTGTTTTTTGGCTACCAACTTGACTGTTGGTTCCTTTTAAGTTGGAAACTTGGAAGCAAATAATCTTATCCTTTCTGGGGCTGAGTAAACTGCCGAACACACAGTAATCACTAATACTTGGCTGAATGAATAAAGAAAGAAGAAGTGAGGAGACTTACAATTTCCTCAAGACATTGAATGGTCCCAACTGAGGCATCCACTAGCAGCAAAGAGAGATTCTGAATCAAAACATGGGCCTTGGCTCTGCAGGAACAGCAAAGATCAGGGGTCATCAGAAGACTGATAAGTTGAACCCAGCAAACAGGTGATTAGGGCTATCCCCTCACCAGTGTCAAATACAGCTTAGGATGGGTTTCACTGGAAGTTCAGCTCCACCTTGAGCCCCCTTATAGACCTACTGCCCACACATTCTGAACATCCTCTAGAAGGATGCGCCCCAATTCTCAGGACACTAGAAATGTCCTGTGAGAAGCTGATCTTAGAAAGGTCAGAAAAGGCGAAAGTACCCAATATACCTGGCAGAGTCCCCTTTGGGGTTGAGGTAAAGTTGGCGGTAGGCATTAAGCACAGCTTCCCGGATACCAGGCTCCTTAGACCAGATGAGAGGCAGCATGCGGCGTACTCCGAACAGGGCCTGAGGTACCCCAAATTGGAATGCCATCACAAAGAATTCAATCACCTCCTGTACCACTGAGAGGACACACAAATGTCACCCATCTACTTGGCAAAACTGCCCTCCCCCCAAATTAAAAAGAAACTTTCTTGATGTAGCAACATGCAAACCGAGGCCTTCCTAATTTTCCCTGAGACTGTTGACTCCCATAATACCCTATCATGAAATACTATATGCATGAAAATAGGTATAGCAAATGCAAAAAAGAATTCTTTTCTTACTTTTTTAAAATTGATTTTGAGAGAGAGAGAAGGGAGAAGGAGAGAGAGAAACATTGATCGGCTGCCTCCTGCATGCCCCCTACCAGGGATCAAGCTCGCAGCCCAGGCATGTGCCCTGACTGGGAATCCAGCAATGTTTTGGTGCACAGGACGACACCCAACCAACTACGCCACACCAGCCAGGGCAAGAATTTCTTCCTTTTAAAGGAGCAGCTAGGTATCAATAAAATATGGACAAGACTGGTTTTTCAACCCAAGACCCAGTCCTTACAGAAAGAAACTTTGGTATACCATACCTGTGGTTGTGTTTTCATACATCATCTTGCTGATGATGCCAATGGCCTCTGTAATTTTCAGAGAGAAGCTATAGGCGTCCTGCAGATACTGCACCAGCATCTCTTGCTTCACCAGATCGTCCTCTCCCCTGGATTTCTCAGGCTCTGACACTCTGGGCTTGTCTTTATAGTCAGTCTGTCCTGGGCCCATGTTCTCTGCAGGCGCCTGGGGATTCTTCTCCTGTGTGGAAGCTGATGGACCTAGGAGTTAGAGAATGTTTAAGATGGAGAAATCCAACACCTATAACAACATTCTGGACACTTCTTTCCACAAAAAAAGGTATAAATTTAGAACCTAATCTAAAATATCTTGGTCTATTTCTCAAAAAAGATTCCTAAAGTTCTTAATGGTTTGGAAATACCCTTTCACACTCTGTGACTATCAATATTAGGCCCACCGGCTGCTTCCATTCCAGAGCAGAAGCATTACCAACTCTGTTAGCTAGGTCTGTGTTTGGCATAAAGTAAATGGTCCATAAATACTAGTTGAAATGTTCTATTTGTTGACTGAAGAAGGAAAGGGAATTACCTTTGAAGATAGTTCCTAAGAAATTCAGAAATCTGGTCTCCTCTAACTCCTCTGGGTCCATATGACTGAAGGGTTCAGACTCCTGGAAGTGGCCTAGGGCTTCTCGAGTGAGAATGATGGCCTGCCTAAAAGAACATCAACCTGTAACCAATTTAGCACCCATAAAAGTGTCACTGTAGCCTTAAAAAAAAAAATTTTGACAGACATGAGTGTCACTGTAGACTGAAGGGAGGCCTACCCACCCAGTAATCCCATCAAGCACCTAGACCTACTGTCCCAAGGAAAAGGAGCACTTTTCACACTTAGGCATCCACGGGGTAGAGCTCAAACACTTTCTATTTCTAAAGTGATAAGGCTTAACTTCAGTCTTCAAAGCACTCAATAAGGCTTTTAAATTTTAAAATTCACAACCCTATTCCAAACATCTGTTTAAAATTTTTGCCAAGTGAAAGTTTGAAAAAAATGAACTTTCAATACCTGGTTAATTTATGGTCCATTCATACAATGGGATTCTATGTAGCCATAAAAAATACTAAGGCAGCTATTTATGTATGGAAACATTAAGTTACATAATTGAGGGAAAAAAGCAAGGGGATAGGTCAGCAGGAAAAAGAATTCTATCACTTGTGTAAAAAGGGGGGGAAAAAGAACATATGTTCAGCTGTATGTCCATATGTAACTCTAGAAGGACATTCAAATAAACTATGATTGTTGCTTCCCTGTGTGACTAAGTGACTGGGAACAGCTTTGGACGGGACTTTTTGTGGTATGTCCTTTTTATAATTTAAAATTTTGTACCACGTAAATGTATTGTCTAATTTTTTTTTTTTTAAATATATCTTTATTGATTTCAGAGAGAGGAAAGGAGAGGGAGAAAGAGAGACAGAAACATCAATGATGAGAGAGTCATTGATTGGCTGCAGCCCGCAACCCGGGCATGTGCCCTGACCAGGAATCAAACCCTGATCGCCTGGATCCTAGGTCGATGCTTAACCACTGAGCCACGCCCGGCTGGGCGTCTAATTTTTTAAAAGTAAATTTCTGCTTTTTAAAAAAACACATTAAAGCCCTGGCCAAGTAGCTCAGTTGGTTAGAGTGTTGCCCCAATATGTCAAGGTTGAGGGTTTGATTCTCAGTCAGGGCACATATAAGCAGCAACCAATGAATACATAGATAAGTGGAACAACAAAATAGATGTTTTTTTCTCTCTCTCCCTTCCCCTCTCTTTCTAAAAATCAATCTATATATAAAATAAAAAAATTTAAAAAAACTTATTAAAAATTAAACTGCTAAAAAATTTATTTTAAAAAGTTTTATTCTAATGTATGTTTATTTTAATTGGATGCAAACACCTCAGTTATTAAGATCTTAACCCAGCACCAATTGCTGAGGATAAAGCGACATCTTTAACATGAGCTGAAACATTTTTCTAATTGATAGGAGAAAATACTAGCATGCTTGGAGGCAGAAGAAGCAATTAGAAACCTATAGTCTCTGTTTATGCTTTAGCAAAGTAAAGAGAGACAAAGGAAAGATATGAGGGCAAAGCAGTTTACATTCTATTCATATTTAGCCTTTCTAAACAATCTAATTAGGTAAGAAGTAAATAAATAACTGTGGCCAAGGTTTAAGAATACTTGATGACAGCTCTAAGTGCTTTTTTTTGCCAAGCTGCTCGAAAGTTTGAGTCACAAAATCACTGGGAGAAACCTTTTCTCTAAGATTAGGATTCATAATAGGTTGACTTAAAGATTAAGATAGGCCCTGGCCCGATGTGGTTCAGTGGTTAGAACATCGGCCCATGCACTGAAGGGTTGTGGGTTTGATTATCGGTCAAGGGCATGTACTTGGGTTGCAGGTTTGATCCCTGGCCCGGTTGGGGCGTGTGTGGGATTGGCGTGTCTCTCCCACATTGATGTTTCTCTCTCCCCCTCCCTATATCCCTTCCACTCTCAAAATCAATGGGGAAAAAATATTTTCTGGTACGGATGAAAAAAAAAAAAAAAGATTAAGGTAGAATATATATTATTTATTAACTCACAGAATTTAGAATTAGAAAGCCATTAGAAATCATATGATGTAATCAACTTATTTTACAAATTATGAAACTGAGGCCCAGAAAACTTAAGATTATACAACCAGAATTATACTTATTGTAGGCTTTCTTCCTCAAAGGAGAACCCTTATCATCTTTTATATAACACTATTTATATTTAGTTATTTTAGTAGTTTCTTTTAAACATTTTGTAAAAGTAGAAAAGCATGCTTAATTGTGGACTATGCCTTTGGCATAATAAATCTGATGTTCAGACCATTACTACAGTGAAAACACCTACCACCACCTGCTGGCAGCATACTCTAAGTACAGTTCATTTTAAAGAAATACTGTTTCTCAAAGGTTAAACTCTAAGCCTAAACAGGTCATTAGAGAGTATCTCATTCTATCACATACTTGTAACTAGCTTTGGCAAGCAACCGACGGATGCGTCCTTTCACCTCTTCAGCGGTCTCTTTAGTAGCAATTTTCTCAGGAATCTCTTCTTCCTCAGGAAGTTTTAGCAGCTGTTGTAAGGTAGACTTCAACTCTGGCAGCATGGCTTCCCACTCCTCCTCTGGGTCCAGCACTGCAGCCGAATGAGAAAGTGTTAGACTCTTTCACTGGTGTTTCTGCTGCAGGGAGAAGACTGTCTGGGGTGGGGATTCCTATGCAGTAACTACTCACAAGCAGCTGCAGTTTGCCTCTCGGCCCTCATCTCTTGTAATTTCTGGGTTTCCTTCTGCAGGGGTCCAGCAAGGTCAGTATCACTAAGCTATCAGGGTAAATGAGTATCAGGATCACAAGTCACATAATTTTATCCATTTCCTTTAATTCCTTCCTTTGGATGGCTCAAGTCTACTTACCTTGCAGGAAAAGGGATTATTGGCGAGAAAACTGGCCAGCAGCTGGATAGCATTTTTACATACTAGCACCGACTTGTCTGCCAGACGGCCCACTGCTAAGGCCACCACTGCCTGGAAACGTGTCAGGGGGAGGGCCTATGTGGGATAGAAAGATAAGAATCAGCTCACATCCCACACCATCCTTTCTGCTCAAGGTGATCTTGAAGTAAACTCTAAATGAGCTACCCATTCATTCCAAAGAAACTTTTCTACGGGATATAAAATAGTTAAGGAGTACTCTTTGTAGTGGTTAAGGCACAATATAGCTCTTAAATGGAGGCAGTCATCCTTGCCCTTTGGTAGATGAACCCCTTTATTACTGGTAGTAACAACCTGAATTCTAGACTCTTGTTTGGGACAGATTTTTTTTTTTTGACACTGGATTCCTCTTTTCTTTCTTTTTTTAAAAAAATATGTCTTTATTGATTTCAGAGAGAGGAAGGGAGAGGGAGAGAGAACATCAATGATGAGAGAGGATCCATTGATTGGCTGACTCCTGCTGGGGATTGAGCCTGCAACCTGGGCATGTGCCCTGACCATGAATCAAATTGCACCTCCTAGATCACAGGTCAAAGCTCAACTGCTGAGCCATGACAGCCGGACATGGATTCCTCTTTTCTTAGGCCTATATGTAGAGTGGAACCATGTTTTTATCAGGTGGAAGGCTGTTCACCTTCTGCTGGACGATCCGGGTGAAGAGTTGCAAAACACGGCTTCGTACAAAGGAGTTGACATCATGGCCATGGGCTTGCAGGGTGTCCAAGAACTGGTCTCTGGTGTCTCGGGCTGCTTCCTCCAGCTGATCACCATTCAGAACCTGCAGTACCATCTCTGCCATGGCTGCGAGCACAGCATTGCGCATCATGTAATTCTGAGAGAGAGAAATGAAGTCGGTACGAGCCTCTGCACTCTAATACTTTCTATTCCCTAAATTTTTATGCCTTTCCAGGCACAAAGAAGGGGCAAGGCCTTTAGTAAAGGTTAAACTTGCCTAACTTAGTTATAACTTTTCTTGGAAAAAGCTGAATCCCAGAGGCGCCTTGTTTGCCCAGAGGAGAATGTAGAGACAATAAACAAGAGCCAAAACCCATTTTCCCCCTAAGGTTTACCCAGGTAATCATGGTGGTAGCTGAATATGAAATGATACCTATCCACCATTTGAAAAGCATTAAGGTCTCGCCACCTGAGGTCTCGCCACCTTTGATCCTTACTAATAAGCACCCCTTTCCCTCCCATTCCCCCATTTTACTGACAGAAAAATGGAACACAGAGCAACAGAAATCAGTCCTAGAGAATCTGGTGGAGAAGAGGATTTGGATATTTTTTCTAGGCCAAGAGCCAGAGAACAGGGTCTTGCACAAGAAGTTAAAGTAAATTACATGAACGAGTGGACTGTCTTTGTCCTTGATATTCACCTATGAGTAGCTCACATTAGTTTGGGAAATGGCCAGGCTGGCATTCAAGGATAAAAGAGAATTAAGAGAGATGACATGGGTCGATTTGAGAAAGTTTATTGTATGGAAGCAAGGCGAGTCAGATGGTAGGAAGAGGCTTCATCCTGAGAAACGGATGGGATTCAGAAACACAGTGGAGTCACTCTCTCTGAACCTAAACTGTGGAACTGACACCTCCCCTACCAGACCTGGAGGAAACCAATGTGACGTTGAAATAGGCTCTTTATTTAATAAACACCAGCTGCTTCTTTACAGGAAGAACTGCCACAGTGATAAGACCAGACAACTTGACTTCATGTGAAAGCTACCTTCTTGTTAAAAAACAGATTTAAAACCCCCCAGAAAAACCTGAGATTCCCAGGGTACTACCCACCTCTCCATCCAGATGATCTAGCAAAATGCACATGCTGGACATAAGGATTGCTGGGATGCGTTCTGCCAGTTCTGTCAAGAAGGCTGCAAAGCCCTTTGCCCCTGCAGGGTCCCGACTCAGCTCCTGGGGACATTTCTGTCCAATCTCTCTATGCAGGGAAGAAAACACAGTCACAACAAGATACTTCAGTTCCCAGTAAGAGAAGGTAAGATTGGTATCTAATAGCTGAAGGAATCTAGTGTTGCACAGTGACTATACTGTATTTCCTATCTTTCTTTACTTTCTCCCTGAGAGAAATGAGAATCAGAAACTTAGAGGCGGAAGAATTACCTTACAATCTCTCCCACTATGCTCTTCATTCCATAATCAGTTGCCCATAGACTCACAGCTGCCACCAGTACAGGTGCCAGGTGTTCAAAGTGCTGCAGCATCTGGATGATCTTCACAGTGGCACCTGTGGAAGTATTAAACATGAGAAATTATGGGCAAAATGAAAAAGGTGGGGCAAAGTGAAAGGGCTAACTTACTGAGCATGTGGTTATAATGTGTCAAGGCTACACCAAGCAGGCGTGTTATGGCTTCCCGGGTGGGTCGGTTCTTCTGGTGACTAATGGTGGGGTTCTCCAGAAGGCGGTAACAACAACCGGTGACTAAACTGAGAAAGGAAGAAAGTGAGATGATGAAATCAGTTGTCTAGACTCAATTATATTGGGGCTCTGCCTCATTCATTCTATTTCTACTGCCCCCAAAGTTAGGGTCTTCTAGTTTTCATTTTATCTACTACCTTCTACACCAAGTCGCTTTGCTGACCACAGATAGGCACTTGGTCTTTTGAAATTACCAGCTTTCAACCAGTTATGATGCCTGTACAGAACCTAATACTGTACTCCAGGGGTAGGCAAAAGTAGGTTTATATTTGTGAGTATGGGGAACACAGTTTATTCTTGTATTATTTATTAATTATTGCACTATTTACCATAATAACTGTAAACCTACTTTTGCCCACCCCTGTATATGATAAAGGGTAGGACAAAGCCACCAATTACTTCTCATTGTTAAATGACAGTAAATTCAGCCCTCATCTTAATTGGCCTTTGAGCTCCATTTGACACAGTCGATCACTCCTTTCTCCTTGCAACACACTTCGCTGGGTTCCAGAATGTCAGGCCCCCTCTCAGTTTCTTTGGCCGGTCCCCCTTCATCATCCCACCTTCTTAATGCTGGAGTGCCCCAGGGTATAGTCTTTGGATTTCTGTTCTATCATAGCTACTTACTGATTTAGTAATCAGTTCAGTCTCATGGCTGTAAATGCATGTATTCCCAAATGTGTACCTCTAGGCCACACCTCTCTCCTGTACTCCAGATTTGTACATTCTATACCTGAATCTAATAAGCTCTGCAAACTTTGTATGTCTAAAACATAACTTCTAATGGTCCCCCCAAAACACGCTCCTACAGCCTTCCCCATATTTCAGTCACAGGCAACTCCATTCTTTCAAATTCTCAGACTACATCATCCTTGACGGCACCCTCCCTCAAACCTCACACACACCTGTCACTCATCTTGTAAGCTCTACCTTAAGGAAAAAAAGTAGGAAATACAACCACTTCTCATCTCCACTACCACTCTCTGGTCTAAATTAATCATCATCTCTTGCCCAAGTTACTGCAATAGCCTACTAACTGGCCTACCACTTCCCTCTCCCTCCATAGTCTATTTCAACATCACAGCCAGGTTGACCCTGTTAAAGAGCAAGTAAAACCACCTACTGCTCTGTTCGGAACCCCTGAGAGGTCCCATCTTACTCTGAGAAAATGCCCGGCACCATGATGGTTCGCAAGAATCTGCAGTTTGGCTCCCCACTGCCCCCCTGACCCCATAACCTATCCCTCTCAGCTGCTCTCTCTGGCCTCATTGCTAGTCCTTGTACATGCTGGACATACTCCCTCCTCAGGGTCTTGGCCCTTGCTTTTCCTCTAGATAGTCTCATGGCTCTGATTACCTCCTCCGGGTATTTGCCCAAATGTCAAAGAGATCTTGCCAGAATGGTTGATTTAAAATCACAAACTTCTTCTGTCAAATGTCCGCCCCCTCCCTCAATTTTTCTCCGTAGTTAATAAACCATAAAACATACTATATATTCCACTTATTTTAAAAATTGGCTTCTGCTCTATAAAATAAACTATGAGGGCAGAAACTTTTTGTTTCCAGTGCCTATAATGATACCAGCCATGCACCTAGGAGATTCTCAGTAAATACTGTTTTGTGAATGAATACATGGGCATTAAAGATGAGAAATTAAAAAGAAAAAAGAAAAAGAAATTCACAGCAGTTTCTAACATTCATTAACTATTTCCTAATAACTCAATGTTATGAGTATATGTATATGTATTACAGATACAATTGAAGTATTTAAAAGGCAGGTCTAGCATGAAAGCCTTCATTCCTCACAGCTCAGTATTTCTCTATAGTCATTTTAACTGCCTACCTGACAAATTCCTCTTCAATTACTGAGTGGTTCCATAGGTGACGAATGTCCAACTGGAGCAGCTGTGTTAAAAGCTGAAGAATTGGTTGCCTCTCCTCTTCCCAGTCAAAGCCATGGGCTGACTTAGCCCGGGTTTTCTTGCCCTAAAAAAAGACCATGTATACATTTAGGAGAAAATAAGAAAAAAAGAGTCAAGATCTGCTACTCTGAGTGCTTAAGCTAACCAATATCAAGACAAGATAGAAGGTAATACAGAAGAGGGCATTACAAGTTCCTAAATATAAGAGCTGCTTGTCACGGAAGGGTACGTTGTGATACTTTTGAGCACTTCCTCATAAAGCCTAAATAAGAACAGAAAGGAGTCTCAGAATCATTGGATTCCCTTCTTTCCTATCAATTCTCTCATTCTTGCAGGTTCCACATTAAATGAGCCAGGAACTCCAAGTTACCTTCCCACCGAGGTCCAGGTCCATGAGACTCGTCTGGCTGGTCACGGTCTCAAAGGATTCCAAGAGGCGTACCAGAGCATAGCAGTTCATTTTGAGGGCATTTAGGTGGGCGCTTCTATCTGATACACTCAAAGTTGCATCATCCAGGATAGCTGGAAGTTCCTGGGCATGGCGGGATACCACTGCGAGGGGCAGATTCTGGAGTTGGTTTCTTTCCCTTTCCTCATAATTCCCCAACTTCAAAACACCTTGCACTTGCAGCCATCAGATTACCAAAGATCTGTGTTTCATCTCTCAGTGGCCACAACACAAGCTAAGTCCTTTGGGACCCCTGACCCTGATACCAGGAACACGCCCTGTCCCTCCCTACTCTCACTCCAGTTACCGTAATTTCTTCTTGGCAACTGAAGAATCATCTCTATGAAAGAGAGGTAGTTCAAAAGCAGGAAGAATTTCTTGTTGGTCTGCCCTTACAGCGAACACACATAACTCTGTATTGTCCACCAAGATTACAGACCTTAATAGGTCAAAGGTCCCCGGGCTTAGCCAAACCAACTGAATCACCACAGCCTTGATATCATCATGTGGCTGATAAAATGTAGTGAACAAACAAGCAAACAAACACCTTCTATCCCCCACCTCCCCACCTCCATAAACACCTTTTATCAGGAATTCCAAGGCATCTTCCTTGAGGCCAGGATCTATACTTCGAAAATGACTAGAGGGAAAGAAAGTGCAGGGGTAAGACAGGAACCTACAGGGCACATTTAAACAGATCAGATCTAACTTCAAGAATCTAATGGTTAAAAATACATGTGAAATCGCTCAACTGAATAAATATGGTGGTAAGTTGGTAAAAATGCTTATCAGTAGAGATATCAGCCCCCAGAACCATTTATTAGTGAGTATAATTTGGAATTTCAGGATTAACATGCGAATAGCCACCAGTTCTTTTTAAAGTACCAGTGGGTGTGCTCTACTTACTGGAGAATGCTGTAGACAGTATCAAAGTGCTCCAGCATAGCCAGGGGCCCCTGAGCTCGGAAGGCAGCCTGAAATGCTATAAAGATGCAAGAAACTGATCAATAAAGAAAGAAGAGGCCTTTTTGGTAAATTCTATTCACAGCAGAAAATTAAGTTAATTGCTTTTATTGGCAGAATTACAAAAGAAATAGTTCATTTCAATGTAACATATTATCTTACATTTTTGTCCTGTTTTACAATTAAAGTCTTGGGTTTCATCATATCGCTGAGCTAGACAAAGCAGACAGTATTATGCCTATTTTATGGGAAAATAAATTGTCACTAGAGTAGTTATGTGACTTGTCCAGCTTATGGTAGTTAGTAGTGAACACAAACTCAGGATCTTTTTTTAAAATTTTTAAATTATAAAAGTGACAAAACCAGTACAGAGCTCCTGTATTTCCCCCCCAGAAAATGTTAACATCATATATATAACACAGCACAAAGATCTATTCTAAACCAAGAAATTAACATTAATTGAATCAACGCTATTAACTCATCTATAGACCTTATTTGAATTTTGAAAGTGGTTCTACCTATGCTCCCTTTCTGGTTCAGGATCCAATCAAGCACACCACAGTGCATTCAGTTGTCATGTTTCCTAAGTCTCCGCCAATCTTTGTCGTTCATGATACTGACACTTTTGAAGTTATTTTACAAAATGTCCCTTAGTTTGGATTTGTCTGATATTTATTCATGATTAGACTGAGGTTATACATTTTTGACTAATTACCATGGAAGGGAGGTTGGGTCCTTCAGATGCATCATATAAAGAAGTATGTGATGTCAATGTCTTATTATTGGTAATGTTACTTTGATTACTTGGTAGTGTTTGCAGGTGTCCCCACTGTAAAGTTACTATTTTACCCTTTGCAATAAATAAGTATCTTGTGGGGAGATACTTTGAAACTATGCAAATACCAGTTTCTCATCACATTTGTCCACTAATCTAAGCATCTATTAATGATTCTTGCCTGCCACAGTTATTACTGTGGGATTTACTAAATGGTGACTTTTCTTTCTCCATCATTCTTTCTACACTTACTAATGGGAATGCCACTATGAGGATGAACTGTGCCTTTCCCCTTATTTATTTATTCATTCAATTATTTACTAATATCAGAGCGGATTCGTGGGTATTTCTTTTATTCGGCGTCTTAATCCATTCCTATTACTATTTATTTTGTTGCTCAAATCATCCCAAACTTGACCACTGGGAGCTCCTTCAACTTGGCCTGTGTCCTGACATGCTCCCTTCACTTATACTCTCTTACTTCCTTATACCACAAGATGTTCCAGCTCATCATATACATAAAGCAGTTTCAGAACTGCTAACCCACACCACTATAAAAAATAAATTTACGCCCTGGTCAGTGTGACTCAGAGGTTAGAGTGGCGGCTGAGCATCAAAAGGGTCGTGGGTTAGATTCCTAGTCAAGGGCATGTACCTGGGTTGTAGGTTTGCTCCCCACCCCTTCCCCCACCCCCACTGGGGCTCTTCTGCAGTTGTGGGAGGCAACTAGTCGATGTGTCTCTCTCTCCCTCTCCTACATTCTCTAAGTATCAATGGAAAAAAATATCCTCAGGTGAAGATAAACAAACAAACACAGGACCATGCTGGCTATTCTCACTTTAAACTTATGATTTTATTATTTCCTGGTAAGCCTATTACAAATTCCTAAACCTATTCACTTTCTTATAGGCAATTTTTCACACTTTCCTCTGCTCATCACATCAATACCTTTCTCAACTCACCCTTAGTTAAAGGCATCACTTCCTATCTCACTGAGAAAATAGAATTGGGACAGAAGAGAACTTCCAGCTGTCCTAAGCTCTGTATTTACCTGCACTACCTGCAACTGTGCTCAAAGACTGCCTTCTCATTTGCTGCTGTAGATAAATTGTCCATGCTCTAATAAAACCATTTCCTCCCCCTGTGCACCAGATCACATACTCTCTTACCTACTAAAGGATATTGTTCCAGTAACTGTTTCCTCTCCTTTCTGAATCATCTGCTTTCCCATCATCTGATCATTCTCATTCAGCACAGACTCATGCAATGCTGCCCATCTTAAAAAAAAATCCCTCGACTCTACCTCCTCCTCTAGCTACCACCCCACTTCTCTGATACTCCTTAAAGCAAAAGTTATCTAAACTTACCACCACCTCTAATCTCTCTCGTTGCATTTTCATAAGCCTATTCCACCACTCCTCTGAAACAGCTTTTATCATAGATGCCACCAATTGCCACATTACTAAATCCAGTAATCTTAATTTGCAGATGATTTCCTTCCCCTACTTTTAAAAAAATATGTTTTTATTGATTTCAGAGAGAGGAAGGGAGAGGGATAGAGAGAGATAGAAACATCAATGATGAGAGTTGTCACTGATTGGCTGCCTCCTGCACACCCCCAACTGGAGATCGAGCCCGCAACCCGGGCCTGTGCCCTGGTCGGGAATTGAACCACAATCTCCTGGATCATAGTTCGATGCTCAACCACTGAGCCATGCCGGCCAGGGTCTTCTTTCCTTTTAGAAATGCTCTCTTAATGTAGCTTCCGTTTAGCTCCTTCATTTACTTTTTGCCACAATAACTGGTCCTTAGTTTCTTCTACTGGTTGTTTCTCATCTCTCCAGCCTTTAAATGTTGGACTTGTCTCTGGTCTTATGACCTCAAATTGTTTTAAAAAAAAATCTCCATCTACTTTCACTCCAATCTCATGGCTTTAAATACCCTCTACATGCTGAATATTAAATCTCATATGTCTTTAGCTGGGACCTCTCCCCTGAATGCCACAGTCTAAACCTACTCCTCTCATATCCCTGTCTCAATAAATGACAATTCCATTTTTCTAGTTGCTCAAGTCAAAAAGCACTGTAATCCCACATTCTTTTTCTAGCCCTATCAATCCAATCTGACCCAACAACAATCCTGTTGGCTCTACTTGCAAAATATATTCAGACCCTGACTGGGTAGCTCAGTTGGTTAGAGCATCGTCCCAATATGCCATCTTGTCTGTTTTGTTTGCTATTGTGTTGCCAGTATACCTAGAACAGTGTTTGGCACATAGCATATCATCAGCACATACTTGTTGAACAAATTAAATGATCTGATTTTGTATATTTATAGTAGAACTTGTATTTAGGATTCTAAACACCAAAAGCAATGCAATTGTTATAAAAAAAAGACTTAAAGAGAGTGATCATCCATTTAAAAAAATAATGCATTATAATAACTGAAGAACAGTTTGCTATAGTGTGCAGCATGTGCAATTGGTGATACATATATCCACACAATAAGGACAGAATAGTCTATCTGTGACCTTGTTTACCAAATGGTGATATGTCCAGGTTTAGGGAGGCTCCTAGGTAATAATCTTGATTAATTTAGCCAATCTTGGTAACTCCATTTCCTAGTTAGGGAAACAGCACATGATCCAATCCTGGCTAAATCTGTTGGGAAGCTTCTGGTAAAATTTTTAGAGAGAAAAAAGCACAAGATAAAAAATCCCCTTTTCTACTTCTGGTCATTGGAACAAGGAGCTGCCACCTGTCAGCCACAATAGGAAGGCTAAGAGGAGATAAGCTGCAATTAGATTATCAAGCTGCTGCATTAACTGACCCTTTTTGTTGTAGAAGATAGTAAATGAAGTAGGTTATTATTCTTATCTTTACATATGAGGAAAACTGAGGCACAGAGAGACTAAGTAACTTGTCCAAAGTCAGAGTGCTACGTAGAGCCAGGATTCAAATTCAAGAAGCTTGGCTCCAGAGTCTTAATCTCTACTTTGTGTACCTCTCCAAAGCAATCTGATACAAGACCACTTCCAGTAAGTACAGTTACATTATGGGTCTTGCTTGATAACAGATAAATTGTTCTTGGTCATCTATAGGTTCCCATGGGTTACTGCATTGCATAGTGTTGCAACTGTACATATATATACATATATGTTTTTTTCCATTACTGCTCACTCTTGGAAACAAGAGTTCTAGACTCTAAAAAAAAGGTATTACTTGAAACACCTTTCAAGACACTCTAAGAAAGCTACCTTCTGTAACTCTTAAATCCATCAGGACTTTATTTCAGCATATGGTAAGAGGTAAAGACCTGAAGTAATTTTCCCCCCATATACACTGTTTATTGAATAACTGAGATAAGATGGTCAATGAGTGCACTCTTCCAGTAATGCACCCCATGCAATGCTAGGGAGAAAATATTAGGGAATAGGAAAGACAGTTTCCTTGCCCTCATGGAGCTCAGTGGTGTAGTGGAACAGACAGACAATTTAATTACATGTGGGATGGCTGTTTTGAAGTGCTAGGCACAGTGCCAGCTATGGAGTCATACCTTTAAGCTGTGATGGAAGATTTCTGATGGACAATACCTCTTGCACAACATACTGATTCACCCCTCCACTCTTCAACAATTCCTCTGGGGTTAAGGGCAGATGGAACTCATACAGTTGGGGAGACATCCTTCTCCTACTGGCTCACAGAGCTGGAAACCAAACAGAAAATAGGTTAGGGTCTGTATCTAAGGCCTGTCTTTTCTTCTAGTTCTATTATCCACCCCCACCCCACCCCCCGAAATATATAATGATTTTTAGTCTTACATCAAGCTGATAAAGATTATCTTAGAGGATGTGAGATCAACCCTGGAGTAGAATCTAATTTTACTCATGACTCTGCCACTTGGTCATGTCACGGGCCTCATCTGTAAAACGGGGTTACTAGTTTCTGATTACTTTACATAGTTGCTCTGAGGACCTAATGAGTTGAGGGGTATCTTTTTTTAAAAGGGTATTAAAGTGTGTAAAGAACTGTCAAGTGGCCTGTCCGGCGTGGCTCAGCGGATGAGCTTTGACCTAGGATCCTGGCCATTGGGGTTGAATTCCCAGTCAGGGCACAAGCCTGGGTTGCCAGCTCCATCCCCAGTCAGGAGCCTGCAGGAGGCAGCTGATCAATGACTCTCTCATCATTGATGTTTTTTTCTCTCTCTCTCTCCCCCTCTCCTTTCCTCTCTCTGAAATCAATAAAGACATATTTTAAAAAACAACTGTCAAGTGGCATATAAATGCCTTTTGCTTAGAATTACTATTTGTTTTTATGGGCAAAGCTTCTTAAGTAGAATGTGTCATCAGAGGCCAGAACATTGGCCTGGCATGGGCCAGTGTCTCCTGGCTCCAGAATGGGAGAGCATTAACATTTACTACCTGTTTACTGTGTGCCAGGTTCTGTTAGGCTATTCGAATAGATCACATCTAATCTAACTCTCCAAACCCCACTCTCATGGAGTACATAATACAGCCCAATATCAGATGAGGAAAATGAGGCTAAGATAGCTTAAGCGATTTGCCCCAAAATCTGCTTCTGATCTACCATACTTACTTTTTCTACCACATCGTGCCCCAAGGGCATACCTACTGTCGACCTCCCTGCTTCTCCTATTTTGCCTAACATCGCGTCATATTACCCCGTACCCTATTTTCCCAGTCTTTCATTCTCCGCTCTCTGTTAACACCATACCTTACCCGAGAACCTCATCGGCTGTTCCTGGTACTCGAGTTGTGGAGCAGGAATAAAGGAGAAAACCAGGCGGGCATAATACGCACAAATCAGCCGAGGCAGCACTCAAGCGAGCAGAAAAACCGGCCAATCCCCGGCTGGAGGAGGCAAAAACCTGCCTCTGAGCCGTGCAACGCGCGGGCAAAGCCACAAACGAGGAGTTCAAATCTCAACGGCTGCAAGGGGGCCAATCGCGAAGCTCACTGCAAAGACCGGCCAATCGCAGCGCAGAATCCGGAAAGACCGCACCGCCTGAGGGGCGGGGCCTAGATACAGGATCTAGCCCCCAACCCCTTCGTCTCGTGGCTGCTGCCTTCCTCATAGGGTCCTTTGCCCCCAGTAGGTGGGGAAGAGCCCCGGCAGTGTCTGCCAGAGATGCCGCGTTTCTAGCGGGGCAGTGGTAGAGCCCCTGGGGTAGTGACCAACTCAGTCAACCCCAGGACAGGAGGCAAATCCAGGCCGGGATTTAGAAGGTTTAGGATCTAGTCCAGGTTCCGCCATTTCCTCTGCTATGTGGCGTCTTCACTCTCTGAGTCCGATTTCCTCCCCTGTACAATAGGAGTAATAAAAAAAGCGACAGCGCAAAACTGTGAGGCATAGAAAAAGGAAGCTCTGGGTTCCTGGGTCTGGACCTTCATCTCCCTCACAGTTGAGGGACGGACAAGGAAACGTGTGAAATTCAGTTTGGGACGCGCTAGACGACGAAGAGAGTACCTCAGCTCTTGTGGCGCTCAAAGACTTCCGGCTCGCAGAACGGAAGCGCCAAGGTGGGCAGGGTGTGAGTGACGTCCCCGGGCCTCTCTGTGCCGAACCCGGAAGGCGGGGCAGTGGCTGGGGAAGGAGGAGCTTAGGAGCTCTGTGCGCCCAGAGCTGCCTGCGTAAGGCCACGCGCAGGCGTTCTCCGTCGTCTCCTTGAAGGTCACGTGTGGCCGGCACTCTGTGCCGGAGCTGTGTGCTGTTGTAGGGGAGAGAGGCAATGGTAGGGAGTCTCGCTGGGGGCGCAGGACGGCGCCTATGGAGCTGGGTGCCCCCGGCCTGCAGAAGTTTCTCTCTGGGTAAGTGGCGGATGTAGAGAGACGCTCTCTGAGACCTGCTTCTCAGTTAGCGGCCCAGATTCAGTCTCTTTCTTCCCCATCCCTAGGTGTTCCTGATTTGTATTTTGTAAGGCTCACCGTCCCGGCCCCCAAAGTGGTTGATCGTTGGAATGAGAAGAGGGCCATGTTTGGGGTGTATGATAACATTGGGATTCTGGGTAAGACTCGACTCCGTTGTACAGAATTTGAGAATGGCAGTTATGCCATAACTATCTTTTTTTCACCTGTGTAGGAGTGGTACCGTGCTCATTAGCAAGAGTAAACACTTATGTGGCTATTTACGTTATACTGGGCGCTGTTCACATGTATTAACTCATTTAATCCGCATAATAACCATTTCACTTTATAGGCGAGGAAACTGAGGCATAAAGGGGTTAAGTAATTTTTCCAAAGCTAGTAAAGGGCAGTGTCAGAATTTGAACCCCAAACAGTCTGGCTCCAAAATCTGTGCTCTTGATACTGTATGTAGTATAATGTGTCCAGTTCTTAGGTGCTGCAGGTTTAATGCAGAGGTAGGGAACCTTTTTTCTGCCAAGGACCATTTGGATATTTATAACACCATTTGCAGACCATACAAAATTATCAGCTTAAAAATTAGCCTGCTATGTTTGGTCAAACATTTAATTAAGTCATCCCTAATGTGATAGCTGGAACTACTTCTCTTTGGTGAGGCCTTGACAGGGCCAGACCAAATGATTTCTCCCGGATATTTGGCCAGCAGTTGGGACATTCCCCACCCCTGGAGCTGGTTGAGGCTGTGTTGTCTTGGAACTAATATCTTCTCTCACATTACACAGGAAATTTTGAAAAGCATCCCAAAGAACTAATCAAGGGCCCCAGATGGCTTCGAGGCTGGAAGGGGAATGAATTGCAGCGCTGTATCCGAAAGAAGAAAATGGTTGGAAATCGTATGTTCATTGATGACCTGCACAACCTTAACAAACGCATCAGCTATCTCTATAAACACTTTAACCGTCATGGAAAGTACCGGTAGACGAGAAAGCTGGGGACTATGGAAGGAACATATCTACCATCCAGGAGAAGGGAAATAGTACTTTTCCCTATGAGGAAAGGGATTTGTATGTTCTCCTTAATAAAATGGGGCTTCTTTAGAATCTGTTTTCCACACATTTTATTTTCCTCTAGATGCTACTTTTACTTGTTCGTGTAGACTGTGAAGTTTACTCATTCCTAAGTCTTAGAGTCTTAGACTTGGACTTTACCACTTGCCCTTTGCAGTCTAGCCATTCCTATGGCCTTTAAAAAAGAAAAATTATTGTAGGCACTTTTTTACATTTGGGTTTCATGTATTGAAAGTGGTGATTTTTAATTGCTCCTTAATGCTAACTGTTAAATATATTTAAAAAATCCACACTGGAATGAAATGGAGTGGAAAAGTGGAATTATATTTCTGTACTATTCTCATCAAAAAATATTTATTGGGTAGTTTTTCTGACCTGAGAATTGTAGGAGAAACAAAAAAAGTGTAATATATCCTTGACCCACTCCTTGCACATGCTTTTCTAGTTAGGGATATAAAGTTATAGTCTCACATGTACACTTTAATATGAGGCATTAAGTATCATATGAGTGGTTTGCATTGGTGGCTTCTAAGCCTGACTGATCATCAGAATCATCTTGGTAATTTAACAATTTCAAAAGTCTAGTCCTTGCCCTGAAAGGTCTGTGATCTGTAAAGCTGAGCTAAATCTTGTGCATCTATATGTGTGTATGTGTGTGTGTGTGTTTAAACAAAAAATGTTTCCATACATTCAATGCAAATTTATAAATTGCCAGAGGGTAATCATACTGGTAGAACATTTCAAGGGGGGGAAGAAGAGTGATCGTTGGTACATAGTGAGAGAACATAGTATGTGTTGGAAGATGGTGAGGTAGGTCTAGCTATAATGAATCATAGTATATAACACTATCTGCTTTTAATAATTTACTTGTCTGTGAGTCATATTAAAACTTGACATTACTCAATTGAGAGGAGAAAAATGTTGATACAGTTTCTAGAATCATATTGATTAGGGTTAAATTTAGCATGTTTCTAGTGCCTAGATAGAATAGTGAGGCTCTCAATGAATATTTGCAGACTGAAATAAGGAAATTTATTTGGTATGTTACTTTTAAAGAAATCTTTTACGTGAGTTAAAAGTGCTATTTGTGTTTTCTGGAAGAGTTAGATTGATTAGGGTAAGTTCTCTGGTATAGACTATTGATTAAGGACATAGCCTTTGGAGTTAGTTGGTCTGGATTTAAACTCAAGCTCTACCACTCTATTCATGTGGCCCTAGGCAAAGTAGTTAACTTCTGTGAGCCTTAGTTTTTTTTTTAGCTTGTCAAGTAGGAATAATATTTTCCTCAAAGGTTTGTGTGAAGAATGAAATTATCTGTGTAAAATATTTAGTACAGAGTTTGGCAAGTGTAATTGGTAATGACACTCCTCTGGAGTGTGTATAGTTGTCAAGAATTAGGAAACCTGAAGAAATGAATGGAAATAAGTTTTAAAAATTATCTTAACTTTTCATTTATAAAAGTAGTATTGCTGCCCAGCCGCTGTGGCTTAGTGGTTGAGCATTGACCCATGAACCAGGAGATCACAATTTGATTCCTGGTGAGGGCACATGCCTGGGTTGTGGGCTCAATCCCAACTAAGGGGCGTGCAGGAGGCAGCCAATTGATGGCTTTCTCTCATCGTTGATGTTTCTCTCCTCCCTCTCTCTGAAATCAATAAAAACATATTTTTTAAAAAAAGTAGTATTGTAAACTAAAGAAAATGAATTACTTATAGATACAAGTTCGGATTTGAATATAGAGGAATTAATTTATTAGGTCTCTTAATTGATGCAGATTCTTTCAAGTAAGTACTTGTTTCAATTTTCCTTGTATAACAATCCACTGCAAAACTTAGTGACTGAAAACAACAATTTATTTAAAAGTGTTTTTATTAACTTTTTTATTAAATCTTTTTATTGAAAGAGGAAGGGAGAGGGATAGAGAGAACCATAAATGAGGAGAAGCATCCATTGGCTGCCTTCTGCATGCCCTCTACTGGGGATCAAGCCCTCAACCCCAGCACTACCTTGACCAGGAATAGAACTGTGACCTCCTGGTTCTTGAGTTGATGCTCGACCACTGAGCCACGCTGGCTGGGCGAAAACAATTAATTCATATTCTCTGGGTTATCTGGGCTCGGTAGGGTGATTCTGCTCCATTTGGTATGCGGTGGGGTCAGTCATATTGCATTAAGCTGGGAGCTTGGCCAGAACTAGAGTGTCCAAGATACCTTCACTGACGTGTCTGGCTTCAGTTGGGGTGGCTGAGATTCTTTTTTCCACATGATCGTATTATTCTGTAGTCTAGCCCAAATTTCTTTACATGGATCCCAAAGTTAAACATGGAAATTGCAAGGTTTGATAGGCATAGGCCAAGAAGTTTCATGGTGTCACTAGTGCTGCATTCTGTTGGTCAAAATAAGTCACAGGCCAGCTGATTCAAGGCTGAGGAAACTCACTCCATTTCTGGATTGGGAGCAGCATGCAGTCTACTTCAGTAACATTTCATGCCTTTGTTGGGACTGTATCATCTGGTAGGCTCAACAGAAGTGAGGCTAGATGAACAAGTACTTGTTAAGTGAAAAGTGGGTTTCAGAGAAATGGATTAATACGTATGTGAACATATATTATGATCCTTATGGAAATACACATACTAAAGATTGTCAGAGCTCATAATATGGGAGAGAGTTTTTAAAGGGATAGCTGGAGAGGAGCTAGATATAAGAGTGGAGGGGTGGTGTGAAATATGAGTGGCTCTGGAATACCTGGCATGATTTGATGGAACTGGAGAGGGGAAAATCGAATATTTGGGACTGCTAAGTGCAAGGTGCTCTGAAGAGTACATGTTTTAGTAGAATATGTGATTATTAGTGAAGAGAAAATTGCTAGTTCAGTTCAATAGGCATTTATAAAATGCTTCCTGCTGTGAAAATACAGAGGGTCTTGTTTTCAAGGACAGAACAATCTTGTTTTAGGTGTGAAGCAGTACGTAACATTTTCATTCAATAAACACAACCATTATGTACAAGGTTATTTGGAGGAACATAAATCACTAAGTCAGGATTGATTCCTAACTCTTAGCTTTCATTCTACTTAAGAGATATGTATGTAAACAATATGATTTGAATATGGCAATTGGATAGGAAAATGAGAGACTACTAAGAGTTCTTTCTTGGCTGGGGGTTAGTCAGAAAAGGTACTTGTTGAAAAGATGACATTTGAACTAAGTCTTGGGAAATGTCAGCTGATGGACAATGGGAAATCAATGTTAGGTATGAACAGTAACATCTATGGGCAGGAGCTTTGATGGATAGGAAATAATTCAGGTGGGACTGGGGCTGGGGGACAGCCTTGTCGTGGGAACACAGATATGTGAGCAAAGGTGGGAACTGCTGACACAGATCCATAGGACTAATTTAATGATCATTAACACATAAGTAGTCTTTAGTGCTAAATAACTAGGAGTCTAGCCAGGATGAAGAGCTTAGATTTTTTTTTAAACCCTGAAGGCTAGAGCTGTTCAATTCTGGTTATATGTTAGAAACTTCTCAAGAGCCTTAAAAAAAAAAAAAAAAGACTAGGACCCATCCTAAACCGATAAACTCAATATGAAGTCATTCTGGGCCTGGGTTCCAAGCATTCATATTTTTAAAATCTCCCAAGAGGTTCTAAATTAGGGTTGAATACCACTGCTTTGGAAGATGTAAGAAGGCAAGGGAATGCTTTTTAAGGTCCCTTTACTCTGATTTGGCTGAGTCTCTGAACTTACTGCTTTGGAAGATGTAAGAAGGCAAGGGAATGCTTTTTAAGGTCCCTTTACTCTGATTTGGCTGAGTCTCTGAACTCATAATACTTTTGCTTTTTTGATTTTGCTTGTTTTTTTGTTTTGTTTTTTGTAAATATATCTTTATTGATTTCAGAGAGAGGAAAGGAGAGGGAGAGAGACAGAAACATCAATGATGAGAGAGTCATTGATCGAGCCCACAACCCGGGCATGTGCCCTGACCGGGAATCGAACCCCAATCGCCTGGATCCTAGGTCGATGCTCAATCGCTGAGCCACACCCAGCCGGGCTGATTTTGCTTGGTTTAATGTGTGTCTGTGTCCGTCATCTCCATTAGCTAAGCCTCATGCCCACTGAGGGCAGGGCCTGTCTTGCACATATTTGATTGCTGCAGTAGTCTAATATCTGGCATATTAGATATCTTTGTATGTGGGCTCTTTATTTTTAAATGTTTTTATTGACTTTAGAGAGAGAGGAAGGGAGAGGGAGAGAGAGAGGGAGAAATATCAATAGGCTGCTCCCATACACACCCCAACCAGGGATCAAACCTGCAACCTGGGTATGTGCCCTTACTGGGAATCAAACACAAAACCTTTGTGGTGTATGGGACTATGCTCCAACCAACTGAGCCATCTGGCCAGGGCTGCAAGTATAATTTTTGACTCCCCAAAAACTTAACTACTGTTGACCGGAAGCCTTATGGATAACATTAACAGTTAACACATATTTTGCATGTTACATTTATTATATACTGTATTCTTACAATAAAGTAAGCTAGAGGAAAGAAAATGTTATTAAGAAAATCATAAGAGAAAATACACTATATATTTATTGAAAAAAATCCATGTATGATTGGACTGGTGCAGTTCAAACCCATGGTGCTCAAGGATTAACTGTATTCTGATATTTGTCATCATAATTTGAAATAATAAACCCTGCTGCTGTTTATGATTTACCAGGTTTAGACAACTATTAGCTTCCTGTTAAGAAAGAAGAGGGTTTAGCTCTCCATGATTATTTAGTCGATATAGAAAAGGGAACTAAAAAATCAACTCCTATTTATGATTAAAATAAAACCTATTAAATTAGGAGAAGAAGGAAATTTCATTAATTTGTTAAAGGTTATATACTGATGATCAACAAATATTTATGTACATGTATTCTCTTTAAAATCAGCAAGAATGCCAGGCTGGCGTGGCTCAGCAGTTGAGCATCGACCTATGATCCAGTAGTTCGATTCTGGGTCAGGGCATATGCCTGGTTTGCAGGCTTGATCTCCAGTAGGGGCGTGCAGGAGGCAGCTGATCAATGACTCTCTCATCACTGATGTTTCTCTCTCTCTCCCTCTCCCTTCCTCTCTCTGAAATCAATAAAGACATTAAAAATAAATAAATAAATAAATTAATTAATTAATTAATTAAAAAATCCGCAACAACACAAGCACACCCTTAGTGTTGCATTTTAACTTAGTACTAAAGGTCCTAGTCAATGTTATAAAAAAATTACTGGTTGCTAAGGGTTAGGGATGGGGTGGGTGTGGCTACAAAGAGATAGCACAGTCCTGGCCGGTGTGGCTCAGTGGATAGAGCGTTGGCTTGTGCACTGAAGGGTCTTGGGTTTGATTCCTGGTCAAGGGCACTGGTACTTGGGTTTCAGGTTTGATTCAGGCCCTGGTCGGGGCTCATATGGGAGGCAACCAATTGATGTTTCTCTCTCCCCCCCTTCTCTCTCTAAAAATCAATGGAAAAATTGTCTTTGGGTGAGAATTAACAAAAAAGGAGATAGCACAAGGGAACCTTGTAGTTATATAATAGTTCTGTACCCTTATTTTGGTGGTGGTGGTAGTAATAGGAATCTACAAACATTGCATAAAACTATACACACATGCAGACGCGCACACACACACACGTACACATACGAATGAATATAAAAATGGCAAAATCTGAATAAGCTCTGTGGATTGTACCAATGTCAATTTCCTGGTTTTAATATTGTACTGTAGTTATATGTGTTACCATCAGGGGAAAGTGGGTGAAGGACTATAGGGGAACTTCCCTGTATTATTTTTGTTAAGTTCAAAAATCTCAATTTTTAAGAAATTCAGTGATTTTAAGTTTTTTTCAGGGGAAAGTTGGTGGGGATACTTAGGTGTTCATGCTGCTAGAAACAGTTCCTCCCATTATTTTTGTTTGAGGGTTTATAATTTGTTTTCAGTTCCTACAAATTGGCATTTTGATGTGGTTATAGCAGGTGGGTGGGATAAACACATGATCAATATATTATGTTTCTAAGAGCAATTGTTTAATAGTTTTAAGCAGGGGTTGTGACATTTGGATAGATCATCCTGGTGGTTTCTTAGAGGATGGATATGAGGGAGGGCAAGCCAAGAAACAGAACGATATATTTCATTTGTTCTAAGAGACACTTTTGTTATTTCATTTTAGCATCTAAATTGGGATGTTTCGCTCTATTAGCCAAATTAGTGTCTGAAGCTTGGAAGGAAATTCCAGAGACAGAAGAGGAACACTCTTTTAAGAAATACTGTCTCACCAAATCCTTTATGACTACATTGTATGGAAAATCATGAACATCTAAGGCTCAGTCAAAAAAATGAATCATAAGGGTCAGCCGCTGAATGCAAAGTATTAGGAGTACTGTTACCATGCTATCTTTTCTATTTTCCTTTTTACATATGCACGAGAGTGAAATATGATAAAAATCTATATATAAACCTACACATTCAATAAATATACAAACTGATAAGAAATCATTGACAGTTTATTTGCTACCCTTTTTTTTTCTAGCAGGAGCTAAAATAATAGTTTTCCAAGGATAAGAGTCTGAAGTAGGTCAGTGAGACAAGGGAAGAGAATTCTTGAAATACTAGAAAGGAAAAAAGCGACTCAACTTGGTGAATTATTAGAGGAAGGGTAGAGATGAATGGGGAGGAATTCTAGGATGGTTTCGGGTTTGGGCAACTGAGTGGATGTGGTACCTGGAAGGGATAGGAGGAGCAGTTTGGCGGGAAGTTCAACTTAGTATACGCTGCATGAGGAGCTTGTTGCAATGTTAAAGGCAACAGGTGAACAAAGTCTCCCTATCTGCTTTGGTGGGACGGATCCCCGCGCCTGGTACTTGGGCCAGAGAGCCTGCCGTCCTGCCTTGATAGACTTTGCATTCTCGAAGTTGCTAGAGGCAGGCAGATGGGGTGGAGCGCCTCGCAGGTCTGGGCGTCAGGGCTGTGCGACTGACCAACCACCGCCTTTCCTAGGACTCCCGAGGGACTGCCGCGAGCCGGACCCGCAGTTGGCTGTGGGCTGAAGCGGCGCGATTGGCTGGAGCTGCTGGCGCTGAGGCCCTTGGGCGGGCCCGGCCTTCAGAAACTGTCCAGAGATCCGCTGGGAGGCTCTAAAAAAAAAAAAAAAGCAAAAAAAAAAAAAGCTTAACTCAAACTGTTGGAGTTGCCCCTCAAGAGGGCTGACGCGTATTTCCATAACGCCCTGTCGCTTAATTAGACAGATAGATAAGCCAGCTATAGTTATATTTGTCGGGGAACGAGACTCACAACCACTCCTTCCCGGAGTCGGGATGAGAGGAGAGCTTTGATTGGCAAATTTGCTTGTGTTTCCCTCTGGACTGGCGCCTGTCCCAGGCGTGGATTGGGCCGCTAGGTTGTCAATCTTATCGGGGAGGCGTGGCCAGCACTAATAAAGACTGGGAACCGCACAGCAGTTGCAGCAAGTTCCACCGCAGCTAGAGCTCCGGGTGGTCAACTAGACGTGGAACTCGGCAGTTCCGTCGACTTCAGCCGCAGCGTTCCTCTAGTGGGGTGTCTCGCCGCAGCCTCCGGAGAGGAGACCGACCCTTACTCTCAGAGAAATGTGAGTTGATTCTGATGTGGGGGTCTCGATCCTCCTTGCCAACCCCTCACCCCCAGCGCCAGACTCTACGGGACGGAAAATGGCGCATTGCAGCAGCTGCAGCGACGCGGGGAACCACCACCGCGCGCAGCCCCCAGACCTGATCACCCCCAGGGAGGAGGGCTGCACCCCACTCCTGCACCAGCCACAGCCAGCACCCCACTGCGGGGCAGGGGCTCAGGGGTCCCACATTCATTGCACCCTCTCCTCGCCTGAGGGGCGCCTCGTTCAGGAGCCCGGGAGAGGGCGAAGGTGGGGCATGGAGTTATCGGGTAGGGGTCTGAATGAGTCTGTATTTACGGCCTCTGGAAAGACAGTCATGGGTGCACCTGCCTGGTAGTAACTTGGGTTGCGCTGCAATCTCTGGATTTGTGTATGTTCCAACTGTTACGTGTTACCTCCCTCCCATCTTGGCAGTGAGCAAAGTTCCAGAAACTTATCTGCCAGTTTTGGGGAGCCAAGTGAGCAGCTCAGAAAAACTCAGGGGGCAGTGCCATGTGATTCCAAGCAGCCATTCATCCCAGGCCACCCTGAGGTGTTTTCCTGTCATTGAGCCTTGGCCAAGTATTTGAAAGAGAAATAGAGCTGGGGATCCCCGTCTTCCCCGACACATTAAATTCAGTCTCTGATCATCTTCAACATCACCCCATCCTAATATCCTGAGAGGAAAGGATGGCCAGACAAATGAAGTCCTTCCCTGTCAAGACCACAATATGTTTGATAGAGATTTTTCTTTCTTGTTGTTGCCTGGAGGCCTGGCCTGGTCCTAGATATATTTGTATTGTTTCTCTTAGTGACAAAAAAGGGAAAATGTTTAATTATGATACATAAAGATTATAACTGTTCTGTATATTTTACTGCTCAGTATTCCCAACTCCCAACAAATAGTAAGTGGAATGGTCCTTTCAAGTGCTGTATAACCATTTCACTTTTTCTCTGTTTGATTTCTGCAGTTTTAACTATATGACATTCTATGCATTTTGGTCAAGTCCTAGGATTCCACTTGTTTTCATTTTGGGTAAGGAGGATCCTTCTCAGCTGACTGGTTCCCAGCAGCACCCATGTGGGATGAACTGAAGGAGATGGAGAAAGTGTGGTGACTAGCAGGGCATCACGAGGTCTCTGACCTTAATCTTGTCATTGGTGCCATTATCTTGGACTGCTTCCAAGACCAAACAGTGGCTTCTACCTACTCATTGAATTTTCCATCTTCAGTCAGAGAACTAGATTGCTTAGTTCAGTAGTAGCACAGGAGCCTTGTGGCTTCCATGGTTTTTGCCACCTTTGTGCCTTAGAAATGAAAAAGTGATTCCTTAAATGGGGATAAGTCAGATGTAATCTGCTAGTATCTCCTCTCTCAGGAGTTATTCTCTATCTTTTTATTTTTTTATTATTTTTTTCTCTATCTTTTTAGACTGAAAGAAATTCACTTAGGGAGGAGGAACTTCTGGGTATTAATTCTGTTGTGAGTAGTCATTTCCTCTGTGGTGACTTTGTGATGGTTTAATCCCTAGATCATTTATTCTTTAGACTGTTCGTATGAGGTTTGTTTTGTGAGATTCGGCTTCTGTTTGAGGAGTTCTTATTGTAATTTCTATGCTTCATTAAGTTTGAGAGATCTCCCTCCTGTTGGTGGGTTCTTCCTTGGGAGAGAAAAATCTTATGCCTTAGATTAGACCTCTGGGAATACTTTAGAAGGTGAATTTAGCCTCCATGTGTTGGGACATAAAAAGTTTATCTTGAACACCTCATGTTAGGTTAGTCCCTTTTAAGGGAAAGAGAACAATCACTGTGCATAGTAGTGTAAACCAAGATTCTCTTTGGGACATAAAGAACTAGGGTAGTCTCCTGAGACTTGTTGCTAAATCTAGAAAAGGGACAGAATGTTTACAGTGCATGTACATGGAGGCCCATTTCTCTTAATTATGCCTCCTGTCTATGTTCTTGGAACAGTTTCATAATTAACATAATTGTTTTAGGCCCCAGCTCTAAGTGAAACCCCCATCCTCTCTGCGGAAGACAAAACAAGCAAACTGGCCTGACTCATTCCACCTGCAGAGGCTATGCCTTGGCGATTCTCCAAGTTGTCCTTACAGCAGCCCCAATGAACTAATTATTGTATGAAGCATAGCCAGTAAGTGGATCCCTTTAAGCAGAGTCTGTCAGCTTGCTCTTTCTTTTTAGATTTAGGCTTTGCAGAAACAGAGCTGTTTGTCCATAGGCTTGTCCCGAGGGTTTAGTCTTTTGTACAAATTTCTGCTAACCTGGATTGGAGGTTTCCAGTTTTGACTTCATGTGAAAGGCTTTTGAGAGTCAGGGAAATGCCATTCAGGCCAAAGCTGGAACATTAGTCCTTGTAACCATTGTGTCAGAGGATGTGTTTGAGTTTAGGTCAGAGGGTGGCCCAAATAAGATCTCTTGATGCCACCCCGATGTCCCTGAGCCCCACTAAATGTTGTTACAGGATCTTTTATCTTTTGCTTATTGTCACTGTGCTGCATCTCCCTACTTGGTATTGCCAAAAACCTAGAACCTGTTCTAAATGCATATAGTAACCTAACTGCCGTGAATTTGATGGTGTGGGGTGAGAATCCACGTGATTCCTTTTTTTTAAAAAAATATATATCTTTATTGATTTCAGAGAGAGGAAAGGAGAGGAAGAGAGAGATAGAAACATCAATGATGAGAGAGTCATTGATTGAGCCTGCAACCCGGGCATATGTCCTGACTGGGAATCGAACCCTGATCTCCTGGATCCCAGGTTGACGCTCAACCGCTGAGCCATGCTCGGCCGGGCTCCTTTCTTGTCTTGGGTACTTTGTGTACTCTCTCCACTTCTCTCCACAGGTCTGATCCAGCTCAGCCACCCACTGAAGGGGCAGAAGGGACTGCCCCAGGTGGGGGTCCCCCTGGCCCTCCTCCTAATACGACCAGTAACAGACGACTACAGCAAACCCAGGCACAAGTAGAGGAGGTAGGTGGAGAGTTTTTTCCTTAGAGTTTCTAAATCACAGAAGTTTAGAAACTTTTCATTTTTATAGAGGGATAGCTAAAGGCTTTGGGAGGCAAGGCACCTGTTAGAGTTACACAGGGCAAACCTGTGATCCCCGATCATTGTTCTTTCTCCCATCTCTGGGGAGTTTAGCGGCTTTGTTTCTGTGCCCCCCTCAGGTGGTGGACATCATGCGTGTAAATGTGGACAAGGTCTTGAAGAGGGACGAGATACTGTCAGAGCTGGATGACCGAGCTGACGCCTTGCAGGTGGGAGCATCACAGTTTGAGAGCAGTGCTGCCAAGCTAAAGAGGAAGTATTGGTGGAAAAACTGCAAGGTGAATTTTCTTGTCCTTTCCCCCTTCTTTTTCCTGGGCCACAACTCACAGAAGGCAAGAAAACGCTCAGGTTTTACATTCCTTCCCTTTAGTGGTACAGGATCTTTGCCCTGCAGAACTCTTGGGAGGAAGTCTTGAAAGCCTCCTTGAGGGCCATTACCCTGAATTGGCCACCAGGGTAGGCTAGAGTATTTACACCCACTAACTTGAGCCGGTGATACTCTGAGGTGTCTGGAAATGGTTAGTCAAGCTGCTTTTGCCAACACGAACCCTGGAAAAATTCTCACCTGGCCCTTCCTCAGACACACACAACATTGACACAATGACTGGGGTAGATATGTGTATTTAAATACGTGCAGCTTTTAGGAATGACCTAAACACTTCACAATGAAAAATGAACCAATTGACTAAAGAGCCATTGCACTTTTTTCAAAGCAACAGGACCTAAGGAAAAAGGAGCAAGCTGCTCTGTTTCTGAGGAGCTTCAGCTGTGGTGCAGGGGTTATTGTCTGATGGGGAGCGTGGGGGTTGGGCCCTCCCCAAGAGGCCTGCAGATCTGGGTGATGTGTGGTTTCGGAAGTTCTCTTCCTGGCTCTTCCTTTCCCAAGTCTAAGGACCCATTTTTTGTCAATGTTTCCTCAGATGATGATCATGCTGGGAGCTATCTGTGCCATCATCGTGGTAGTTATTGTAAGTAAGTATCGCTGAGGTTACTGGTGGGGTGAAGAGGTGGGAAGGTCCTGGAATCTTCTCCCGGCCCTGCCTGCCTGCCTGCCTGCCTGGGGAGTGGGGCTGTTCTGACTGAGGTATGGAGATCACTGCTGTGGGATCATCACTTGGTTCAGGAGGGAGGAAGGGCAAAGACAAAGGACTTCCTTGATGGACAAGGCTTCCCTCTGCAAGATATTGTGGGAAGATGGTCCCTCCTGTTTTGAGAAGGTGGGGCTATGCTGTTTGTCACTGTCTTGGGTCAGAGGGAGACATGGGGATGGGACACCTACAACTGAAAGACCTGAATGTCTAGTAACTTGATGTAATTTGTCCTCTTGTTTTCTCCTGTCTCTCCCTCTTTTCTATCTGGGACTTCCTGATTCCTGTGTCCAGTCTACTTTTTTACTTGAGAATGTGCCACCCCTTCCCTGTGCTCCATTGCCATCCAAACTCATGTTCCTCTCCTTGTTTGCTCTCTCAACAGACTTCCCTATCTGTCTTCCTCCATCCCAGCCCAGGCTTCTCCATCACCCATTCCTCCTTTTCTGTTGCTTTCATTTGCACTATGTCCCTCCACACTAGAAATGCTGCTCGTGGTGCAGTCTTGAAATAATTACCTGAAGAGCAACAGCTGGCACCTCCTGCCTACCTTCTTCTTATATACTCGCAAATTCCTCCAAAGCTGAAAAGAGATGGAGGCCAAGGGAAGGGGATGGGGTGTACCTGTAGTGACATGTCCAAGAAAGTTCCAAAATTGGGGGAGGAGAAGGATATCAGTGCCCATGGTGCCTCCAGGAAAAGCCAGGCCACTGGCAGGAGGAAGCCATGAACCATGAACACCTGTGACAAGGGTGGCTCACTCGGGGCTGCCCTGGTCACTTGGAGCTCTTCTCCTATGCCAGGCCTGAAGAGGATCCTGGGTGGGCACAAAGTCCAACTTGGTCTTGGTACAGTACCCTCTTAGATAGTAAAACCTGGTTTTTGCAGTTATTTCTAATCTGTTAGTCCAAGATTTTTCTACGTCTTCAGGGGTCTTACAGCCTTTTACTTTGTTCTCCAGAGACCTGGAGAACACATATTAATTGTGAAAATACCAGAACTCTCATTGCCACCCTAGAAGCAGCCCCACAAGTTCATAACTAGAAGGGGCTGTCTCTTGTCCCTATTTCCTGCAGCATTCTGTACTAATTCATGAGAGCCCCAAATAATTTCATATAGCTAAAGTTTGGGATTCTCGGTTAGTTTTAATTATTGACATCGATAAAGAGAGGATGCCTACTAGTTAGAGAGAGAAAGTGGATAAAGCTAATTTGAAAATAAGCTCAGAGGAAGCCACTTCTAGCCCTCTTAAGGAGGGTCTTGTTCCTCCCTTCCTGTTGATGAAGGACGGTGGGAGTCCTTGGACTTTCAGGGGCTTCCTGCACGCCACCCCCCCGTGCATTTGCCAAAGACAGGGATGAGGCAAGATATCCTTCCTGAGACCTGGCCGATTCTGAGTGTTTAGAGAAGCCCAATTTACCCTCCAACTCAGTGTTGGGGTGGGAGGCGGGACAGCCTGTGCTGTCATGGGGCCCCCTCGTCTAGAGCCACCTCTGCTCTTCCTGCACTGCAGTCCCTTTCTAGCCAGGCACCCACCCGAACTCCACTTTGCCTCCTTTCCTTTATCCTCTACGTGGTTTGTGGGTGCAGACAGTGGGATCTCAGGGTGGGAGCTACTCAGCCTGTCTTGGGGGCTTCTGGTGGGCTTCAGGATAGGGTATCAAGTGAGATAGACCCGAGGGGGGGGCAGGCAGGCTGGGAACAGAAGGGGAAGCACCTGTGTTCCTGCATGCCTTCTGTTCTCTGGTCCACTAGCAGGAAGAGGCTGAGGCCGGGCTAGGCTAGGCCTGGATGCTCACTTTCCATGCAGCAGCATTTCATTGCGTAAAACCATCTTTCCTGTCCCTTTGCCCCTGTTTCCCACATGCCCTTCGTCCTGCCCCACGGTGGGACTGAAGAGCTGGAAGAAAGCAGTCAGTGTGCCTTCCCAACGATTCCCCTCGAAGGTCTCCACTCTCCTCTGGGCTCCTCCTTGCCTAATGCAGGGGGTCACCGCTGGAGAAGAACTACCACTGTCCTCGATGTGTCCCAAGCCTGGAGCAAATTCGCCCTTTTAGCCCACCCATCCGTGTCACAGGAATTATTTCCTGGGTTTCTGTCCCTTTGAGGCTTATCAGGTATAACTGGCTTTGTTCTTTTGGAGATGTCTGCCCTTCTACTTTCTTTCTCATCCCACCGTGTACTGTCTTTTGTGTCTTTGCTGTCCCCCTTCCCTCCTACCACCCATGTGCATGAACAAATATGCAACTAAACCCTGGGACTGTGCAGTCAAATGAAGCCGAGCTTCCCACATCCCCTTCAGTTTGCCATGAGATGATGTGGGTTTTCCACTGTGTGTCTGACATCACCTCTTTGTCTTTTTTCCTAACCTCAATCTCATACTTATGTAGAATAATAACAGTTGTACTTCACCAAAGGCATGTGGCATATTTACCAATCTCATGTATTCTGAACAAAGGCAAAAAATACAAATTCCTAACTACACTGACTTGGTTGTTGTTTGGGTTGCAGTAACTGAGGAGAGATGGGGAGGAGGGGAGTGTTGTTTCTTTCTTATAGTCTGATGTTGCTTTAGGCCGGAAGGGCTGGCTTATGTGTGTTGGATGGTCTTCTGGAGATTAAAGATCTGTGTGTCGGGAAAGGAAGTGGTCTCCGCTCTCAGCATTCATGCCTGAAGCAGTCCAACTTTCACAGGTGCTAGTGAGAGGAAGTGACAACAGGAAGTTGATTGGGGATCTCACACTGACAACAACTGCAGGTTTTCTCAGACATCTCCTATCTACGTCCTTCCCTTGTGCCGAGTTCCACTGTACTGACTGGCAGATTTTAGAAATGAATAAAAAATCTCTCCCTTGCAGCTGAGTAGTTTGAGGAGGAGGAGTAGTCAGGAGTTTGCAGGTATCCCGACATACCTGCAACTGTCTGAAGAAGCAGAACCTTAATTCCACCTTCAGGTTACACAGAGCAACTGAGATGGACCCCTAGGTCTGCCTTCCAGGGCCTTGGTTTCATATCTTGAACACTTTGCAGCTAGGCTTGGGGACACAGCTCAGTTGGGTCCAGCATAGGGAAAGACAGGAAAGTGGAAAAGCTTTGCCTCCAAGGACACAAAAGGCTTTTATTTGGACAGAGTTCAATATTTGTGTGTGGTGGCCCAACCTCCACCCCTTTGTCCCGCTGTCCCTC